TATTTAGCCTCTCTGAACCTGAAGTATTTGTGAGCATTAAATGAGAAAGACAAAGTGCCTGGCATGCAATTATCAGTCAGTGCTGGTTCAGTATTGTCATTATTATCATAACATGACTATGATATGTTTAATAGTGAAATAAGTTGACTCTGTTCTATTATTTTAACTGGAAAATGTTGCATTAATTTAAATGGGTTTAATGAGCGTCGCATAAAGTCAAGCTTTAAGCAGGAGAGAATGAGCTAACATTCTCGTCAATTACCTTGCAAAGTGCTTTAAATATACTTTATTTTAATCTTTGGTATCATGGTAAGTAGACAGTACCCTCATTTCACAGGTAAGGAAATAAGACCCGAGGTGTAAGTGTTTTGCCTAAGAACATGCAGGAGAAATAATAGTAGTCAGAAATCAAGGGTTTCTTAACTTTACACGAATGCAAACCTTAATTTTTTTTTCCTTTACCTGTTTCTTTTTAAAACCTTTTTGTAGGTCTCAAGGAACAAAATCTGAGAGTAGAAAGTTTAGAGGATATGGGTAGCATAAGACTGGCATTGCAGTTTTGAGTCCTGTATAAAGGTTCGTGGTCCTTGTTTAGCAGAGAATAACTTCTTAGTTACATGCTATACTTGTGATCTTGAACAGTTATCTTGAAAAACTATGCCACTGGTAATGAGAAGATCCAAGTAAGAATAATATTATACTTAGTATGACTTTTGTCTGAGATTAAAAGAATAAAAATCATAGCAAGCAATAACATCAACTTTTTAATGAAGGATAGTGCATTTGAGGTTGGAGCAGTACACAAACTTTCGTTACTCAGAGAGTAATGAGCCTTGGGGAATCATGAGGTAAGCTAATTTCTTTGATAGAGCTAGCTCAATTTGGTAGGGAGTTTGAGGAGGCTTGTTTTCCAATGGAATCATAAGGTATGTTCGAATTCCTGCAAACTAATGGTTCATACCAGTAAGAATCTGGCTGAATCCAACCCCATAACAACCAAGTGAGAAATAATGGTGATTTTTAATTACTTTGTTTGTGTAATCTGACTTTGTCACTGATTCCATTCGCTTTTGGATTGCAAGGTTTGAACATTCTGTCTGGGAAAAACAGAATTAAAGCCGTTAGGGCAAAATTCCTTTTAGTTTTTATATAACAGATTGCAGTTCACCCTACTTTTTTACAGAAACAAGTGAGACTGATTCCTGATTAGATAGTGTTTGAAAAGTTGAGGGAAACTTTGTGTTTCTTTCTTTCTTTCTTTTTAAAGGATTTATTGAGAGGACAGAAAAGCTCCCAGAGTAGGAGGGGACCCAAGGGGGTTGCTGCATTTATTTCTTTAGCTTGTGATGTCCCAAAGAAAATCTACTGGAATTAGTCAAAGTAGTTCCTTAATATACTTTGTTCCTATGTCCAGTAAACTTAGATTATAATTGTAAAAGAAAACTGAATATTATGGGCTGTATCTTGGAAACATTTTGCATAATTTTCAGAGGCATTCCATTACTCTACTGTGATTTGATTAAGATTGAAGGTGGTAGTATTCCCAATATTTTAGGTGCTTATTTAAGAATAATTGTGAAATTCTTTTTTCAGAATTTCTTGGAAAAGCTGATCTTGCTTATCTACCCTGAATATTGATCTATAGTTGACAGGTTATGAAAAGATGGTTTCCATATTTAAATAAATTTTAACAATACTGAATTTGCTGGTACCTTCTAAATAACTTACATATGAAAAGCTAAAAGTGACATATAGATACTTTGCAATTGCTGCTTATAATGGACTACATGATTTGAGGTATATCTTGAAAGAAACTTAAGACTCAGTTGACTTTAAAAAGGGGGGAGAATAGAATATTCGTATTGGTAGAAATGTTCATTAAGTTTTCAGTGAACAAGTAACCAGTTTGGACTTATTTTAGGGAGACTGGGTAGATATATGTAGGTGGAAACTGGATTGTGACTTTTTTTTTTTTTTTTTTGAGTTGGAGTCTCACTCAGTCGCCCAGACTGGAGTGTAGTGGCCGCTCCCGGCTACCACAGCCTCGCCTGCTGGGCTCCGGCGATCCTTCCACCTCAGCCTTCCAAGTAGCTGGAATTACAGGCATGCGCTACCATGCCCGGCTGATATTTTGATTTATTATAGAGATGAGGTCTCCCTGCCCAGGCGGGTCTCGAACCCGCGGGCTCAGGCAGTCCACTCACCTGAGCCTCCCAAAGGTGCGGGATTACAGGCTGAGCCACCGAGCCCGGCTGGATTGTGACTTTTTACATCACATTAAGGAAATTAAAAGTACAGTAACATGGACTAGAAATAACATTGAACCTGGACAGTGGAAAATCTAGATTCTAGTTTTTGCTTTATTATAGATAGAGCCTTACTCACTGGACCACAAGCAATATTTATCTTATTCTAGGTGCTAAAGGTAATGTAGTGTATCCAGTAGATGCCTGACAGCCATTAGACTAGACTAGATGCTACCTGGTCACCAGTTGAATTAAAAGATTCCTTCTGAGTTTGACATAGTATTAATCTCTCTGGATCATATTTGTCTCATTTGAACAAGAAAAGGACTCTTACTCTGGCTCTTTCTAAATCTGTGATACTGTGATCTTGTTGATAGGGAGAATTACCAACCATTTTTTTATTTTTTATTTTTTGAGTTGGAGTTTCACTCTGTCACCCAGACTGGAGTGCATTGGCTGCTCCCGGCCACTGCAGCCTCGACCTGCTGGGCTCCAGCGATCCTTCTGCCTCAGCCTTCCAAGTAACTGGAACTATAGGCGCCCACTACCATGCCCGGCTAATTTTTGATTTATTGTAGAGATGAGGTCTCAAATCTGCGGGCTCAGGCAATCCACTCACCTCAGCCTCTCAAAGTGCTGGGATTACAGATTGAGCCACCAAGCCTGGTTTATCAACCATTTTTGAGCAATGTAATGAGTTAAGTGATGGCAGATGATTGCAAATGGTTAAATTTCAGATGCTTACATGGAGTCAGATGGTTGTGCTGGCCACAGTGTAAAATACAAATTGGATATGGAGAGAATGAAAACAATAAAGCCATTAAATTGGTCTAAGCTTAAAGAAATGAGGTATTAATGGACAACTCCCTTAGGACCCCTCCCACTGTGGGAACTTTTCTGTCTTCTCAATAAATCTTCTTTCTGAAAAAAAAGAAATTAAGAATTAGTAATCAGGACTTTGGGTGCAATAGTAATATAAAACAAAACAAAATGATTTGAGAGGCAGCAAAGAACCCAGTAAGTTCATTTTACTTGGTCAAGGATCTTTGACTATTGGAGGAGCAGTGGGCATACTACTAGCAGAACGGTTTGCCAGCTGTTTTTAACATTTCTCTTTGTTTCAAGACGTTATATAGAATAATAATAGTAATACTTAAATATTGTGGGAGAAGAAGCATCCAAGAATGACTGTTCTGGACTAGACAAATAATAATATCATTGAAAGAAAAGGGGAAATCCAGAGAACACTTACTTGAAGAGAAAGGGAAATTGGCCAGACTCGGTGACTCAGCCTGTAATCCCATCACTTTGGGAGACTGAGGCAAGTAGATTGCCTGAGCCTGCGGGTTTGAGACCAGCCTGGGTAACTTGATGAGATCTACAAAAAATAAATAAAAATTAGCTGTGCATGGTAGCGCACGCCTGTAGTTCCAGCTACTTGGAAGGCTGAGGTAGAAGGATTGCCGGAGCCCAGCGAGTGAACGCTGGGGTGGTGGTGAGCGTGCCACTGCACTCCAGCCTGGGCGACATAGTGAGACTCAGACTCAAAAAAAAAAGAAAAAGAGAAAGAGGAATTAATGTAGACATGAAACATACCTATATGTGAATGATACTTTTATTGTATATATTGAAAACTCTTATTGTGATTCTATATCACATGATTGTCCAAAAGGAAAAAGTGTCTTATCAATTTGGTTTTGTTTATTTATTGCCTGATAGAGTTTAAAGAAACCTACATACCTTTTTACATCTAATGGACCTTTTGAAGCAGGCACATGGCACCTGTTTTCTAGCTCTTTCATTTAGCCAACCATAGTCTGAAGTAGGCTTGCTCATACACTTAAGTTAAAAGTAATGCTGCGTTTTTGTAGCATGCCTTGCTGATTTCTGAGCAATACCTGGCATCCTAGACTACTTACTTAGTACTAATGAATTGTGTTGAGCCAGAGATCAGTGTTAGTAGCTTTGAGATAGCCTGTAAGAATTAGTAGCATTACTAACCTTTAGAAGTATTCCTTCCAAATAACTTCCAAGTTCTTATCTTATGCAATTGCCTTACTATTCACTGTCTTGATTAGGATTTTCAAGCTTACAAAATTACAAAGGATTGGACTTTAATCTGTTGTCCACTGTAACAATGCAATGAGCAGTGCTTTTTCTATCATCTTTGTTACTGCCACAAAGAAAAACCTTTCCTTAATTACTAAAATCAAAATTCTTTTTATTTGAGTCCAAGAGTTTTTCCTGGCAAATGGAAATGTCTTTATGCAACAGAAGGGGAAAAAGAGAAAAAAAAAAAGTTACCACTTCTGTTACTAATTCATAACTGTTTACTTTTTAAAATATACTGTAAGGGTGTGGCAAGGCAATTTACCTTAATATCACTACTTTTTAAATTAGGTAAACAGAAGAACCATTATCCCCACTTTTCAAGTGATTTTATGGGATGTGGTTCAGGTTACACAAACATCGTGTATGATAGATTGAACTGAGAACCCAACCTCAGTGTTGTGATTTCTTGTCCAGTGTTCATTTGGCTGTGTATTCTGAGTTTACACTTTGTTCATTGAATTCAGTCCCCTTTTTCTTTTAAAGCACACTTTCAATATGATTAGTGTTTCAGTAAGTGGATTTCTAGTGTACATACAGTTAAGCCTCCAAGGTAAGTTTTGATAGGTCAAGGAGACAGAGCAGTGGATATAGTAGGTGGAGCATTGAACAAATATAAAAATCTCATTTTGCTGTCCAGGGACTATTGCTGTTGGCAGAGAAGCAGAAGGAACAGTAACAGAATAGTTTCCCTGCTGTTCAGCAGGTAGTTTTGTCTAAAGGACCAATCTAGAATAATATTATTGATTGAGCAGAGTGAACTCATGTCTGAGAGTTGGGGAAGCATGGCTAGTATCAAACAGAAAACCGTGCTTCAGTCTGATTTTGATATCTGCCTTCCTTATGCTGTGGGCTAATTTATTCTGTTAATTTACATCTTATTCATTTTTCCCTCATTTTCCTCTAATTATAACTAGTCTATTTTGCCTTTTCTAATGGATTTTACAAAGAAAGATTTTTGCTCAGTATTTGTCTTCATAAATTCTCATTGCTGCTGCTGCCCTCAAAAGGATTGTGTAAATGAGGTGGGTAAGAATTACCAATATATATAACAAGTATATTGTAGCCTTTTGGTGATAATTATAGAAAGTTTCAGCTCAAGTATTGAAATTGATAACTTCAGAATATTTAAAGTTCTGTAAGTTAGTTAATTTGCACTGTATTCTGTGTGAGGAGGAGGTAGACTTGATTCCTGATTCTAGATGGTTAGGAGAAAGTTTACCTTTATTAAGAAATAATTAAAGTTACCCTACCACATTTGAAACTGAAGTTTTTAAGAAGCAAGTGCTGATAGTTTTTAAGAGCTGGAAAGGTTGAATCAGAGAATTCTGTAATATGACTCACTTTTATTTTTCTAGCAGATTAGTTGACAAAACATAGTACATGAAATGAAGCATAGTATATCAAATGAAAAGTCAGTCTGTAAAGTATACATTTTTTAATTTTTCAGTTCAAGTAATACAACATATTTGATAAACATTTATCTTATATTAAACTCTTGATGTGCCTTCATAGAGTCACAATTGATAATTTTTTTGTGCCCCATTTAAGATTGCCTAGACATGACTTTTGATTTTTTGTATTGGATATACATTAGATATTAAGCACTTATATTTAATGAAGAGAAATAAGCCACTGTCCCATGTTAAAAAGCAAAACAAAACACAATATGATACTACTGCCTAAAGAGAACTTCTGTAAATTAGAAAAGTGGGGAGAAAATATTTGTAGAGACAATGACCTGCTGGTTCTGAAGGAGTGGAATCAGAGGGTTATGCACACCTAACAAATTTAGTTTTGTTCTGTGTAAGATAATAGCCCAATTTATATACCTTGGTACTTTTTTCCTGTTGTTTTGAACCTCTTTCAGAGTAGGTGAGAATACTTTGCTTTTAAAGTAGAATAGGACTCTGGGACTAAATCAGGGAGTAAAGGAAGGGGTGGCATTTGGGAGGATTATTGGACTTTAAGTTGATCGTCTCTGAAGTATATAAACTAAATAAGATGAAATCTTTTATCATGAAAACATTTTGTTCTCATTACCTTGTTCTGTCATGTGCTTAAAATTATGTTTTAGAGTAAACTAAAACATAATATAAAAACTTTTTTTAAAAAGATGATCAATTGTAAAAAAAAAATACATTGAGTTCTCATGTCTTAAGAATAAGAAACCTATGTGTTGTATGATAAGTATATCAAAAGCCGTAGTTGCTTGTTTATTTTAAGCAGCTTTCTTTTATATGTGCCAGGTGACTGACTATTCTGTAGGTCAGCTTTAGGGTCAATGAGATTTCATACTTATTTCATACACTTTTACTTAGTCATCTTTTAATATACAATACCTATATATTATTGCTTCTTAAATGACTCAGAATACATCCATGTATGTTGACAGCCCTCACTTCTTGATGGTTGCTAAACTGGTAAAATTCCCTGTTACATTTTTCAGTATCTAAGTGGGTAACAGTAAAGCAGTCTTAATCTTTTAATACCAGCTGCTGGACTGGTAAGGTGTGTCTCAATTTTCTTGGCTACCTTGGAACCTATAATACATTTTTTAAGGCAGCGGTGATATCAGTATGTTATATAGTACTGCCATGGAATTTTCTATACTTGAATCTTGATTATAGATTGACATAGCATAACCTGGTAGACTTAAGGTTATGTTATACATAGTTACTAGTTTTGCTCTATCTTATATCTATTTTGTTCAACACATATTCTCCTATTTGTAAATAGGAATTCCTATTTATAAAGTCAAGAGTGAATATATGTGTGAATAGAATTAGCAAGAGGATTATTATTAAGGATCATTAATGATGAAAGCAGATTCAAGAGAGGATTTTCTTCCTTTTAACCTTAAACTTTATTTTCTTTGGAGATCGCCTTTGAATTCTAAGGTAACCTTGGGGTCAGCAAACCTAATAATTCAAAGAGCTTAGAACACAAATATATGATACTTGGATCTAGCTGCTATAAATGTAGTTAAGTTGGGTGAGTATTATCCCCATTTGCTGGACAGAAATCTGACGCTCAAACTGCTTCTGCTGGTACAATTCACACTGAATTCAGATCTTCTATTGTTAAATTTTACCAGCTTTCCAGTGTGCCTATACATACTAGATTTAAACAGAAGAATCAGTATATATTGGCTTTATTAACTCAATATGTACAGGGTTTTTGCCAGTAAGCCTAATCCATTCCCCTGATGTGCAAGAGCCTATGGAAGAAGAAACATATTTTTCTCATCAAATTCTATGTTGTCTTTAGCCACTCTTCCGTAACATTTGAACTGTCTTTACATTGCAAAGGCCAACTATATATGAATATTCAATTTTACCAAAGAACAGTCGTTCAGACAATTTTTCATTAGTAGTGAATGTTCTACATACAGCATGTTAGATTGTTCTCATGCTAATAACATTTTTAAAGTTTATGTAGTTTTAAATATTTATTATAGAAAACTGAAACCAAATATAAAACAAAATACATTTGTCCCTTGGTATCTGTAGGGGATTGGTTCCAGAGCCCCATGCCCCTCACAGATACCAAAATTTCAGGATGCTGAAGTCCTTGATATAAAATAACCCACACTATTTTCATATAACTTACACACATCCTTCCCTATATTTAAATCATTTCTAGATTACTTATAATACTTAATACAATATAAATGCTATGTAAATTGTTTAGGGAATATTGACATAACTCTGTACATGTTCAGTATAGGTACAATTTTCTTTTTAAAATAGTTTCTTTTTTCAAATATTTTTGATTTGCAGTGGTTGAATTCATGGATGCAGAACTTGTGGATAAGGAGGCCCAGTTGTAGTCAGTTTTTCTCCTACTGGAGAACTTTTAGCATGCAGCATTCATTTTTTTTTTCTTAGATCAGTTCCTATCTTCTTAAGTCTGAGTTTGAAATACCAGCATGTTCAATTAAAGTAGTCTTTTACTTCAGCATTATTTTCTTGTTTTTATTAGAATTATGTGAAGACATTAAAAAGTTGGGAAAAATTTAACTGGATTTGGAAAAATTAGATTAAGGAAAATACAAATAGTTATCTTTGGTAGTACTCAGTATTTGTAGTACTCAGAAACATAGCAGTCATTCTCAGAAACAAACCTTTTAAATACATGGATTTAACTTTAGTGTCAGCCCTACTACACAGTTCCTTGCTGTGAAAAGTTAGCCTCAGGGGTAGAATTCTCCATATCAGGACTTTGGAATAATACAATGAGGAATTGATGATAATTACCTAACTCTGGATACAACTCTGGTATTTAAAGAATAGAGCTAATCGTTTGCTGTATTTCATTTAGATCTATGAGAGATTGCTTGAATTTCTGTGCTTTATTAGGTTGTCACTAATTTTGTTTTATTCTGCCTGTCACTGATGAGACTATAGATGATTAGAATTTATGTATATTTCTTTTCTAAACACCACTACCCTCGAACCCCATTCCCTTTGTTTTGTGTGTTTATAGGGAGATATAGTGCTAATTGGACTGTATATCAGTGTAGCTACTTCATCTCTGAATCCATGTGGCCACTTAGATGAAGTGGGAGAATATAATGAGATATTTTTTCCTCTACCTCACCTCTCAAATAATATCTTGCTGTTTTTATGTCTTATGTATATTTTCCATATATTTCTGAAATTTTACTTTGAAAGAATGGATTTATACTTTGTGAACATTCTAAACTATCACTGTGATGCTATCATATGGTCATGTATAATAGTGATAATGAGTTTTCTTTTGAGATTATTTGCAAAGTTTATCTTTCATAGGGGTCCGACACACCACTTTTTGTTTTATGTTTTGTTTGTGCAAGACAATTTGCTCCTCAGTTATCATGCCAAAACAATACAGATCCCCAACTCTTTCTATACTAGTAGAGTGTTTTAAAGAATTCCGTGTCTGCCAAGCTGAGCATGTGAATTCATGCCCATACATGGGTTCAGTGTTCAAAATAGTTAATTGCTGTATTGATTGATGTGTTAGAAAACAAAGTTGAACAAAAGATCTAACCAGTTAGAACATCTGGCCTTCTTTTTAGCCAGTATCATCCTTTCCTCAAAACACAGCAGAAGATACTAACACCAGCCCACATTTTTTCATTGCCACATATGGAAGTAAGTGACCCCACTATCACATGGTTCTTTGTTATTTTTTTGTGAGGAGGTAAACTGCCACTACCCAATTCTGACCATGCATGGACCAGCTCCTGCAGGCAAATTAGAAGAAAGTCAGGATAAGCTTCGCAGAGCTTGGAATTTTTAATTGGAAATTAAAAAAACAAAAGATCCTGCTTTCATTAATGTATTTCTGTTGCCATTTTTATGGTTTTCAGGGGGTGAAGCCAGCCAGTTTTGACAAAGTAGCGATTCCTGAAGTGAAAGAAATTATTGAAGGATGCATACGGCAAAACAAAGATGAAAGGTAAGTTGCTTCTTTTGACCTGGGTGATGCTTAAACAAACTCCAAAATGTAATGTGCGCTTGAGTACAACATTTCAACCTGAGTCGTATTTAATTATGATTTAGTTTCTCTATGCCATGTAACATTTTTAAAAGTAGAGTTCTGTCCATTGACATTATTAAGGTTTGATATGCTGGAAAATTGTAGAAGTGTGGTTTGGTAGAATTTGAGTAAACCAGAACCACCTTAAACCTAGCTACACTAGTCCGTGAGAACTGCTTACTTAGAGGGTCAGCATGATTGATAATACTGAGAAGTGTTCAGTCTCTAAAGCAGCAAATCTGTTCCTTAGTCCTTTATCTATTGAATTCTAAATGGTGAAATAAAATGTTGTCTCTTTAAAAGTCAACTCAACTACACAGGTCTTGATTTGCTATCAGCATGCCAGAATTAAGAGCAAAACATCAAAATTCCTTTGGGTGAAAAGAGAAGATTTTGCCCAGGGCATAGGAGGAGATCTAGTTTACTCATTTGTACTAGCAGAGGAGTAGCAAGTATCTGATCTGCCAGATAGCTGATTGATCACCCTTTAGGCTTGGCAAGTGTCCAGTGTCTGTTTTTAAAAAATAATCTACCTTTGCTGCTCCCCTCCAACCCCTTCAAAAAAGAAAGAGGAGACCAACTAGTACAAATATAAACTGTAAATTGAGCATGCCATTAGAAGATTGAGAGCAATCAGGTATATCAACCAAATTAAAGATTTTACATATCTTCACTTATCCAGTCTCATTCTTTTCATAACCTTGTTATTTGAAAGAGCTTAACATTATGGTCTTTAAGGCTTTTTAGTAGAAATTTATTTTGAGTTTCTATTTTTATATACACTGAGTACTTAAATCTCTCTAAGAACTTGTTTTTCACCAGAAACAAAGGAATATTTGTTTCGAGCCTTAGAACATGTGACCCTCTTTCTTTTCTGGATGGACCAGGTTACTAGATTACTGGTATTTGGAAACCGTTTTATCTAAAGAAGATTGTTTCACAATCAGCCTTCTGCTTGCCTGGTACACAAATTGTTGAGCATGGAATTGAGAGAATTTATTGGGGTAAATACAGGTTCCTGTAGTAGAAGGTCCCAAACTAGAAATCAAAAGATTTGTTTTCTAGTTTTAATTATACTATTTGTAACTTTCATTTCACCATTTACAACTTCTGTAACTGTGAACAAGATTCTCAACCTCTCTTGATCCTCCTAGTCCTGATAATCAGGAGATGATGTTTCATTGGATGCTCATCAGACAAGATCATACATATGTAGACATGCATGTTACCTACAAAGTGCTAAATGATTATATGGTATTTTGAAGTTTTGAAATTCTATGCATTACTTGCCATTACTTGTACTCTGTTAGCTAATAAGATTAGGTCATTGGATTTAAGATATAACACTCTTATTCATAGATGAGATTGTTGTGATGTTCTGTAACTTGAGAATAAAACTCTGTAATTACTATTCAAATGCAGCGATGTAGAGATGAGTTAAGAACTTTCCCATTTTTTCACAGTCATTTTTTTCTTTCTTCTCTAACAGTAATCAGTTACATTTGAAAATTATCTTTTCTAACTAATGGTGTTTTGTTTCTTTTCCCTTTCTTTGGAAGATATTCCATCAAAGACCTTTTGAACCATGCCTTCTTCCAGGAGGAAACAGGGGTACGGGTAGAATTAGCAGAAGAAGATGATGGAGAAAAGATAGCCATTAAATTATGGCTACGTATTGAAGATATTAAGAAATTAAAGGGAAAATACAAAGACAACGAAGCCATTGAGTTTTCCTTTGACTTAGAGAGAGATGTGCCAGAAGATGTTGCTCAAGAAATGGTAAACTGATAGTGATCAGCCATTTAAAAATTGATGTTAGATTTATATACAATGATACTGTTGAGCAAAAAAGCAGTTGATGATGTGGTGTGTGGCATATCCCATTGACATACAATTGTGTTGGCCCCAAATGTTATCTTTAAGTAGCGGGCTTTTCCTTTGATTTTTGTTTAACTCCTCTCTTTGTACTTCTCTGTACTGTTTTTATAATAGGTGTTGGGTTTCATAGTCCTTTCTTAAGGTTACTTTTGTTGGACCAAATATATGTAGATATATATAGGGATGGATGGATTAAATAGATAAGATAGATAGACTGCACTGGTAGAATTCTGAAGTCTTTTTGAAAGTCTGTAAGGGTGAATTTGTATAAGCCTCTTCAATTGGAATGACAAGTTATGATTTTTTAAAATATTGGTACATTACTTTTGCACAATCATTTGTATAGACCCTATAAATAGAGCTAGTATCACAAATTCTTTTTACTTTGAAGTGTGTTTTCAAGATCAGTTATAATTACTAGGCAATCTTTAGTGTGTCATTATTTGAAATATGTCTTAAAAATTCACTTTTTACCAATTTTAGCCATAGTTAATTATTGTGCAGAAATACTCAGAATATCTTTAGTAAGATTTATGAGAACCACTCAAAAGTGGTTAATTGTTAGTTTTTTATATTATTTGAGTTTTTTTGGTTGAAGGGATAGTTTAAACCTTTGTATACTTAGCACAGTTATAGGAAATAAAAGCAAAACAGGTTCATGTTAACAGTTACATGTGAGAGGAAAATAGAGTAAATAGAGTAAAATGCCTTTCTTGGTTTATGAACTGTGGTTCTAGGTGCCCCATTGTTTACATATTTGATGTAAGGAGTAAAGGTACACACACCCTGCAAACTTCTGTGGTACCTACCCCTCAAGTATCTACAAAGACAGTGGGGAAATGCGTAATACAGACTAGTAATTTCACAGCTTGGTTAAGATCAGTCCTGGGAAGCTTCCTTCTTCCTCATCTTCTCCACTTGTTTACAGTGCCTTTTTAATTTTATTTCTGGGTTTTTTTTCCCAGTATGTCACTGCTTCCTAATAAAATCTTTTATTCCGTAGGTAGAGTCTGGGTATGTCTGTGAAGGTGATCACAAGACCATGGCCAAAGCTATCAAAGACAGAGTCTCATTAATTAAGAGAAAACGAGAGCAGCGGCAGTTGGTACGGGAGGAGCAAGAAAAAAGAAAGCAGGAAGAGAGCAGTCTGAAGCATCAGGTAGAACAACAATCAAGTGCTTCCCAGACAGGGATCAAGCAGCTGCCTTCTGCTAGTGCCGCCTTACCTACTGCTTCCACCACATCAGCTTCTGTTTCTACACAAGTAGAACCTGAAGAACCTGAGGCAGATCAACATCAACAACTTCAGTACCAGCAACCCAGTATATCTGTGTTATGTAAGTATCCTGGGAAGTGGACAAATATGGTAATGATTCTCCTAGTTCATTTTTGGTTTTTGAATTATGAATCCGACTGCAATAAAAAAATTTGAAATTGTCATCTAGCTTCTCTTCTTGTATCCATGACTAATAGAATAGAAGGATCGGATATAAAATAATTTTATAAACTAATATCTTGGAGGTTTCAATTTGTAGATTTCTACTTTTCACAATTTCTTAAAATAGAATTAATAATGAATAACTAGGTGTAGCTACTAGCTACTTAACAGTTGAAACCATTACTGATTGAGCTCTTTTAGCAAAGCTGAATAGCATGTAGACTAAAAACTAATGAGAACGTTAGTTATTGATTGAATTACCTCTTTAATACTGAGAACTCCATGGTCTCCATAGTTAAGACTTTGAAAGCTATATGAAACTTAAAGCTTACTTACAATGTTCCATTTTATTTCCCTTACTCTTTGGGTGATAAGATTCTGTGACAGCCCAAGAATTTTTTTAAAGAGACATTGAAACTTCCATATAGATTCCTCATTTAAATATAGAAGTTAATTAATATGACTATTCAAATTTTGTTTAGTTCAGGTCTGTGCAAAGAAATAACTAATTAAGCCAGTGTAATGGATCTAAAATATATTGGGAAAATGTGAATCTCATTTTTGTGATTTGTGTTTCTTTCTGTTTTTTGTTTTTTCATTTTTTCCTTCAGCTGATGGGACGGTTGACAGTGGTCAGGGATCTTCTGTCTTCACAGAATCTCGAGTTAGCAGCCAACAGACAGTTTCATATGGTTCCCAACATGAACAGGTGCATTCTACTGGCACAGCCCCAGGGCATACAGCTTCTGTTGTCCAAGCACAATCTCAGCCCCATGGGGTATATCCATCCTCAAGCATGGTAAGTAAATGCATAAGAGAATGAAATACCACTATGACAGCCAGTAGATAATCTGCTAAATTCAAATTCTTTCTGTTATCCAAGTAGCAGTATGAGTCTGAAGTAGAAAATATAAATTTCTAAAGGAAATAGGTTTATTATAGAGTATAATTGGAGTGGTTTAAGCAGAAAGGATATACACATTAATATGTGAAAATTAACCAGACCACCTACATGAAACAACTGTGTACAAGATTTGGACTAGTCTGTATTTGACTAGAGGTGTAGTACTCTCTTTAGCACTTAAGAGTTGAAACTGTTCAAAGGAGAATAAGCTGGATACAGATGGCTTTGGGGTGGGGTGAGGAGAATTTCTCAAAAGCTTATTAAAGTAATTACTAAGTATTTTCTGTAAGATTTCTTATTGTACAAAACACAGGTAAGATCTTCAAACCATTATAGAATGCTGCATGTGAGTACTCTAGAGTGAAGGAATCCTTTATTTGTATGAATGTTTAATTTAGCGCTTGTGTTTAGTTAACCATCAGTTGCTGTGCGTGTTCCTGCCTTTAAAGTCTATGTTGGACACAAATTCCTTTCCCAATATATGTTCATTTGCTTTTTCCTGTTATTTGGTATCTGTTTTATTACTGATTTATTTTCAGAATCAACTTATGGAGATTATTTCCTGAAATATTTTATGCTCATATTATATATACTCACACATATTATTATTCCATGTTTTACATTAGCCAGTCTTCTCATATTGAGAATGTTAAAGATCATCAGATAATGACCCATTTATTTGTTGACTCTGAAGTCTTCAAGGGAAGATGAAATATATCACCTGCCTCAGAAATATATTAAAGAATAATTGGTCGCTGTATAGCTTGTAAGTGAGATCTTTAAGCGGACAGATTTTCCCTTCCTTTCAGGCAGCTTTTAATCTAAAATTTGTGGAATTCTTGCTCTTCTTTATATGACAATCTTTCCCTGCTAAGAAAATACTTCTGCTTGCTCTGATCTTTTATTCTGTGGCTTGGAATAAAAGATGTTTACTTGTTTGAGAGTTCATTGATTAGTCCTGTTTTGGCTGGTCTCAAGGCGAATGGCCACAGTATGAGGAACACTACTGATGTACTAATTTTTTTAACAGTATACTTTCTAACCCTTACAATAATTACGTTAGGTAGTATAAAAGGACTTTATAAAGATGACATTTAAGGTATATTTCTGTGTTCTGACGAGTATTACTTGTCAGCATTTCTGCTCGGTTTCTACTTTTAACTGATTTTTTTTCTGGATCATAACTGGGTTTTTTTAAGACTATTTTTAATCCCTTGTCTTTACTCATCACTGGGCTATAAACATTAGGTCTCTATCTTAGAAAAGGAAATGGAATGATTATGAAGATATTAAATAGTCGGGCTACTGATAAAACTATATTTTTTTGATGCTCTAAAAGTAGACTATTTCTTGCCTTTTAATGACAATATTCTATGAGGTTGTTAAGCAGAATTATTAAATACTGAGGATTTTTAAAAAAAAATTTTGCAATTCAATTCCTGTCTCATTCCAGGAAAAATTTACTGTAGCTTACAACAATATATAAATTATAAGTTAAATTTTAAAAATTAGAATAAAAGACAAAGCTGGGGAAAAACAGAACCAGTAATGAAACTAAATAATTATTTGATGATACTTATATACTTGCTACTGGAAGACCACAAATTTGGCTCAAAGCAGTTTATGCAGCCAGTTTTGGAAAATAAAAAGTAATTAGTCGCCGGGCTCGGTGGCTCAGCCTGTAATCCTGCGCCTTTGGGAGGCTGAGGTGAGTGAATTGCCTGAGCCCGTGGGTTCGAGACCCGCCTGAGCGGCGAGACCTCATCTCTACAATAAATCAAAAAATCAGCCGGGCGTGGTAGCGCATGCCTGTAGTTCCGGCTACTGGGAAGGCTGAGGCGGAAGGATCACTGGAGCCCAGCAGGTCGAGGCTACGGTGGCAGGGAACGGCCACTGCACTCCAATCTGGGCGACAGAGTGAGACTCCAACTCAAAAAAAAAAAAAGTAATTAGTTACATGGTTCACAATATGTAAAAGGAAATAACTTGCTCAAGGCAACCTTACAGTATTAGACGTACTGCTTTGTGTAGCTATAGTAAACCCCTTCAGGTAAAGTGCCTTAAACTTTGTAAACCTAAATTGAATCTCTGATATACCTGAAACTTTTTAAAAGTTAATCTTTAGATATTTTTTCATTAACTGCTTTAGAAAGAGTACAAAATGTTTCCTATATTCAGTTGTAAATTCCTTCTAGAAAGCTTAACTTTTTCCTAATAGGTAATGACTTTTTACCTTTGCAGGTAAAGACTGACAAGTAAAATAAAATACTGTGAGCCAACAGTTTTTTCAGTCTGATGCCTTCTAAAATAGAAATGAGAATCTTTTTCTGAGGTTTCCAGAGCTCCTGCAAAATAATCCAATCTTAATGTCTTCTACATCTTGCAATGTACTTTAAACTAATAAATTCTAAGTTTGCCAAAGCTGCAAGCTGATCATCGTTTTCCCTTTCTCCTCCCTTTAGTCAGATTGTTTTATTCATATACTCATTACAATTGGTATCACTTTAGAATATCTAGGGTGAAAACTGACCATTTTCATGATCATTCTTTTTAAAAAAAAAAACCTGTCCGTGACCAAGAACATAGATCTGCCAGAGGTGCTTTGTGGAGTTATCTCTCTCCTCAAAAAAATTTGACTTTGTGGAAGTGGGGAAGGATGGAACATTTCTTTATGCAACTATGCCCTGTTACCATTGTACATTTGGTTATTTTGTTTTCAAAGTACGGTGTATTTCATGTGTGTGTTTGTTTTCTGTTTAGCCTCGTCGTGGCCGTAGCATGTCGGTTTGTGTTCCCCATCTATCTGCTGTTCCCTCTCTGTCCCGCATCTCTCCCAGTGCTCCTTCCACCCCACCACCAGTGTCTGCACCTCTTTCTCCTTCCCTCCTTCGGACTGCCCCTGAGGAAACTTTTGGCGAAAAGCTTTCTAAAGCATTGGAGAGTGTCCTGCCTATGCACTCTGCCTCTCAGCGCAAGCATCGACGCTCCAGCCTGCCTTCCCTCTTTGTCAGTACTGTATGTAACTGTAAACTTCCTGACAAATGAAAAACTATTACCAATGAATACATCCAGGCATCAAGAATTTTAATAAAAATTCAATACAGAACAGGACTAAATTTGATTATTTATTATATTTTTAGGATATCAGTTATTCCTATAGGAAACTTTTTGGTAATAAATGCTTTAAGAGGGAGTAAAAAGCAAGGAGGTAAAGAGAGAGAATGCTTATAATGTCGTTGGCACATATCAGCATGTGCCCAGTAAAATTTAACTTTTATTATATCTTCCTATCTCCCACTGATATAAAGTTCTCTCATTTTTGTAACGTAGTAAAAACAGTGTATTATTTAATGTCAAACTCATTGTTGCCCTAATCCAAAGCAGACTTTTATCAAACATTACCCAAATATATATTTTCTTACTCTATTCTAAGGGGACACTAGTGAAGCTGGATGAGTTCATTTTTTGCAATAGTCTATAAACAATAACCAAGAAGTAAAAGTTGATTTTAATTTAACCATTTGTGTAAAATGATGTGTCAGCAAGCAAAAGGCTACATGATATTCCCCCATGGAGGTATTTTTTTCTTAGGTTGAATAGGATGGGAACATGTGTCTTCAGTGAATACATTAGATACATGTATAGTATGTATGACTTTCTTTGACTCCATTAATGTCTATAAAAGATCTGTCTTTTAAAATTGTGTTAATAATCATGTGGGACCTTGCTGTTGCTTTTCCAGTTAAAGAATATAGTTAACTTGCTGAATTAGCACCTCCAGAATTTTCAGATTTTTACTTAGGAGAATAATTAACAGTACAGTGCTTTTTGGTTTGGGGACACATCATGAGTAAATTAACAGTAAAATGAGCATTCCAATTTGAAATAAAATTCCTTTTTTCGCTTTGTGAACAGTTGAGGCACTTTGCTAACCTGATAGGGGGCTTCCCTGTTGAAAGAATGAAACCAGTCTCTTAAAAGGAAGTCTATGATAGTGAATTATTATAGCATATATTGTTTGCATTTAGCAATTTACGTTTCTAATTTAGAGTTTTTAATCTAGAACTGCTTCTGTGAACAAAAAGTGCTGTTAAATCAAGTCAGTTATCATTTATGTTATCCTTTTCACCTGATTTGAACACCAGATGTCAGAAGCAGAAATTTCATGGTTATACAACCCTCATCTAGAATCGAAAAAGCAAATATTTGGTGATATGACATCAGAACCTGTTTCATGTAGTTAAACTATTGACCGCATCTAGTTTAGGTAGACAGGAGAAAGACATTACTTTCACTAGTCCACCAAAAATATCTTCTGCTTTCTAATAAGAGGGCATACTATTAGTTGGTAAGAAAATAACACTGATGCTTCTAACACAGCACAAAATAATAAGAATATAGGAAATCTTGGTACAGTAGCCTAATTTGAAATACACGTCTTACATTATAGAAATAGTTGGGCTTTTTTTTTTTGACTCTTACTCTTCCTTTACCTCTTTTTTTAATTGATGTGATTCCATTGATTCTTAAGAGTGAACATATTATTGATGAGTAAAAACAAAATAATCACTTAGAAAGTTTAAGTCTTCCATTTTCTTTGAGAGAGGAAAGTATGGGAAAGCAGCTCTTCTCTAAAGCAAAGAGTCCCACAGATTGATTTTATTGGCCCTGGATGTATTTAATGGATTTTTACTATGCACATATTTTCCAGAAGCATTGTTATTTCTTTATTAATTATAAATTTGGTGTAACCATTTTATAGGGTTACACAAAGCTATCCAATTGTGCATGTCTGATGTAATTTCACATATGAATGTATGAATTACTTGTCTTATTCATGTTGATACAGCCTCAGTCCATGGCGCATCCGTGTGGGGGGACCCCAACATACCCAGAATCACAGATATTTTTCCCAACTATTCATGAACGTCCAGTTTCTTTTTCACCACCTCCCACCTATCCATCGAAAGTAGCCATTTCCCAACGGCGTAAGAGCACCTCCTTCCTGGAAGCCCAAACTCACCACTTTCAACCCCTGCTGAGGACTGTTGGCCAAAATCTTCTTCCACCTGGTGGCAGCCCAACTAATTGGACGCCAGAGGCCGTAGTTATGTTGGGTACTACAACCAGTAGAGTAACTGGAGAGCCATGTGAGATACAGGCCCATCCTGTGTTTGAACCAACTCAAGTTTACAGTGACTATAGACCTGGACTAGTATTGCCAGAAGAAGCTCACTATTTTATTCCTCAGGAAGCAGTCTATCTAGCTGGGGTACATTACCAGGCCCAGGTGGCAGAACAGTATGAGGGCATTCCATACAGCTCACCAGTACTGTCAAGTCCTGTGAAACAGATTCCTGAACAGAAGCCAGTGCAAGGGGGCCCTACCGCAAGTTCTGTCTTTGAATTTCCATCTGGACAGGCTTTCCTGGTAGGACACCTCCAGAATTTGAGATTAGATTCTGGATTGAGTCCAGGATCTCCCTTGTCTAGTATTTCTGCACCTATCAGTACAGAGGCTACACGTTTGAAATTTCACCCTGTCTTTGTTCCTCATTCTGCACCTGCTGTGTTAACTCATAACAATGAGAGCAGAAGCAACTGTGTATTTGAATTTCATGTTCACACACCAAGCTCCTCTTCAGGAGAAGGAGGTGGAATTTTACCTCAGCGTGTTTACCGAAATCGACAGGTTGCAGTGGACTCGAATCAGGAAGAACCAGCTCCTCAGTCAGTTGGATTACATGGCCACCTGCAGCCTGTGACTGAAGAACAGCGTAATTACCATGTCCCAGAATTGACCGTTTCTGTGGTAGATCCTGTCGGACAGAACTGGCCAATAGGAAGCCCAGAATATTCCAGTGATTCCTCACAGATCACTTCTTCAGACCCCAGTGATTTTCAATCACCTCCCCCTACAGGGGGAGCAACTGCGCCTTTTGCCTCTGACGTCTCATTACCCTTTATCCGTCTGCCTCAGACAGTGTTACAAGAATCCCCACTTTTCTTCTGTTTCCCCCAAGGAACCACATCTCAGCAGGTTCTAACTGCCTCATTTTCTTCAGGAGGATCTACACTCCATCCACAGGTTATAGGAAAACTTCCACAATTCTTTTAAACTACCCTACTGTGCACCATTACATTTATATTTTCCATCCCTCATTTCCTGAAATTATGGATTTATGAGGAATGTTGTTTAATTTTATCAGTAGAGTTCCCCCATCTTTTTGGGGATATGAACTACTTGTATATAAGAACAAAATATGAGAGAAGCTACCTGGTTTACCTATTATATATGCAAACCTGTGGAAAAGAGAACACAGAACCCTGAATTTAATCACTCATTAAAATCAGCGACTTCTATCCCTATATATGGTATTTTTAACCAGTAGTAAAAATGCACATGTCTATAATGTAAGGTTGACTCAGCATTGGTTATTTAGGAATACAGATGTTAAGTATCACTTTCTTCTAAACAAGTTTTAACAAAATAGAAAGGATAACTTTATTTTCTATAAAAAAAATGGAACATAGGGAATGCATTTTTTTGAATGGTTTTAATAATTAATAACTCAGAATTTTCTTTAGTGTGGAGGGTCTAAGAAAAAGAAAGCATCTTAAGAATTGGTCTTAATAAATGTGCCTTTTTTAAATGGCATAATCAAACGTCACTATTATATGTCTAAATAGTAATATGTCCAAATCAAATGTTAATTTATAAAATTAGCGACTGATTATAATTTTTAGCAACTAACAATCTAGCGGGTAGTGGACTTGTTCTCAGAATTTGTGATATATGTTGCAAGCTAAGGAACTTTAGACTTCTCGGGCCTTTTTTCCAACAGACTTAATTTTAGTTATTTATGTGTATGAGCAAATACATACTCAGCAAATAAAGACAAAGTAATAGACATAGTAGAGTTCAAGAAGTACAGTATTGAGTATATATTCTTTTGATGTATCTTATTAAATGTATACATCTTACAAAATCTGTATAGGAGACATAATTTATTCAAGATATTTGGATATTCTAAAATAAACGTACTATGTTTTTCTTCCTACTTTCTTCCTGTGCTCTTCCCTGATCAGGGGCACTAAACAACCCAAAAAATGTGCATAAGTATCAATTACTTAGACTGGTACTAAGAAGAAAAAAGATACAGAAACTTGAAAACTATGTTGCATGGGCATGAAGTATATTCACATCAGTATTTAAGTTACAGCGCCTATTATAAATATTACTGTATTAGCAATCATTCTCTGTCAAACTTTCCAAAGTAAAATTTTAAACACCAGGTAGTTCATTTACAGACATATTGGACAATGAATGAATACTTACAGTTGTTAGTTGTTAAACTGCAGTGGAATGTAACGTCATATGCATGTAAACTTCAGTGAACCCCTTCTAAATTGAAATGGAACAACAGAGGTGGCAATCTCTTCATTTCCTTAATCTTCCTATATGTAGTCCTGCATTCATTTCTTAATTTCTTAATTTCTCATTTATTTTACTTTAGACTTCTTGATAATTGGAACACTCTAGTCAGGGTTTCTCAAACGCAACACTATTGACATTTGGGGATGGATAATTCTTGTGGAAGGCTGTTCTGTGCATTGTAGGATATTTAGCAGTATCTGTAGCTCCTAAATGCTAGTAGCAGCCATCTCCCCAGTTGTGACAACCAAAAATGTCTCCAAACATTGCCAAATGTCCGCTGGGGTGGCACAAATTGTCCCTGTATGACAACCATTGCTCTAGGTACTTAGCGGTTGATGATAACAGATTTTTGACATTGTTGATAAAAGTTACCATGGCACTACAAAAAATATTACCAAATTGGCACTATCAAATACCTTTTCTCTAATTGTTCAGTTAAAAACTATTTTCATATTGATAGTCTACTACTTTCTTCTGATTGTTATATTTCCAATAACCATCTTATTATAAATCAGACTAGCCTGACCAATTAAAGTTATAGTCTGAGCAGCTATGGTAGGTTGAAATTTAGCTTTAAGTAGGTTTTGCATGGGATAGGATCAGAACTTGTTCTGTGCTGTGACCTTTTCTTACAAAAGATGCCCCAGAGGCCTGTCCCATACATAATCAAATTAATGTTTCATTTTGATCAAGCAAACTCTCAAGAGCTTAAATGTTTATTGCAAAAGCCTATACATGCTTTCTTTAGGCCCTCTAATTTGTTGTGTTTATTTCTTTCCTCAGGCACAGGGCCAGAGCCAAGGTCAGCCATCCTCAAGTAGTTTCACAGGGGTTTCATCTTCCCAGCCCATACAACATCCTCAACAGGTAAGAACAATGCTTTGCTAACTGTTATGGATTAGTAGTGGCCAAAACACTGTTTTAACACCTCTTGTGAATTAGATCCCGAATGTAAATGGCTTTAGCATTATTGAAAGGAAATTAAGAGGCATAACATCTCGTATTCAGTAACATTTTACAGAATTCTTCTGTTTAAAGAGTTTTTGAGCAGTTTAGTAGATATACATTAAAATTCAAAAGAATCAGCTGGGCTCGATGGCTCAGCCTGTAATCCCGCACCTTTGGGAGGCTGAGGTGAGTGGATTGCCTGAGCCTGCGGGTTTGAGACCCGCCTGGGCAGCGAGACTGCATCTCTACAATAAATTAAAAAATCAGCCGGGCATGGTAGTGCATGCCTGTAATTCTGGCTACTCGGAAGGCTGAGGCGGAAGGATTGCCGGAGCCCAGCAGGCCAGGCTGCGGTGGCCAGGAGCGGCCACTGCACTCCAGTCTGGGCGACCGAGTGAGACTCCAACTCAAAAAAAAAAAAAAAAAAAAATTCAAAAGAATCATTACTGCTGATATAATTTATCTGCCTTCCTAAACAGGATTCTACATGTAATTTAACGGTACAGAGAATATCAGTGTTTTACTGTTTATGTTTATGACTTGTCCATATATGAGCATTTTGTCATTACTTTCATCATGCTTGCCTCTAATAATCTTGCACTTCTTTTTAATTATTTCTAATCTGTGGGATGAAGGATCAGATTTTATACCAAGAAGCATTTAATGAAAGCCTAAGAAAAACTACTTTAGGAACTTTTTTTTTAAACTTCTGATTTGGGGAGAATTGTTCCAGAAAGTTCAAGGAACTCAAGAAATTATTGCAGTCTTGTTGTATTCAACCATAAAACTGGTAGGCCTAAAATTAAATATTTATAGTTCAAAGATATTAGTTAATTGTAATTATTTGCATGGTAATAATATGTTCTTGGAATTATTGAATACTTATTAGCTATTTTAAATAAAATTTCTAGCCACTACGTGTATGATACAAAACTTCTAATGAACTATTGCATTAGTAGTTCCCCAAGTGTGTTTTTTACACCAAGTTATAAACTAATATATCAGATTATAAAGTGAATGAAAACATTCTTAACCCTTGGCCTCTGTCTATTAATTTTTGAAACAAAACTTTAATTCTTAAGTACAAATCATCTTCTTCCAGTCCAACATGTGGTCATGTAGTCATTTGATACTGCTTTAAGGTTAGGTGTTTCATGTACAAGATAAAAATTACTTTAGAGCATTTTGTACATTAGGAATTGATTAATCTGGTTATATACATATTCACTCAGTGACCATACCTCTATCTTATAGAATTTAAGGGCGAAGAATTATTATATGCTTTGTCTTCTATCCTTTCTTTCAAGCAGGTGTTTGAATTTATACATAATTACGATTAAATTTGAGTAGTCACATTTTTGCCAACCATAACAAATTCTGCTTTAGTCTATTAACAGTTCATAATTAGAGCACACGCACAAAAAGAAGTCACACACACATACACACACACACACACACACACACACACACACACACACGTCACATAAGGCTGGTTAAGGTCAGAAGTACTATCATGGGCCCCAGTCTCCTAATTTGCTTATCTTTGGACATAGAACAACACCAATAAACAGAGGAAATTGTGTGTGCTCCATTTTTTTCTATTCCAAAGGAATTGTGTTATATGTCTTATATTTGGGCATAAATACAGCATGTATACTACTAAATAAAGAAGATGGTGAAATAAGCCATTGAGTTAAATGGTGAGAAAGAATGTGAGGGTAGAAGAGAATAGTACCATAAACGTCAAGTTAAAAGAATTAGGTGTTGACTCTTGTGGGGGAAACATTATGGTAAAATGCTCGTTAAATGCTTATAAAGTGGCTAGTAACATAATAAATATGCAAATAAATAGCCTATTTGCATACCAGCAGTAACTAATTAATTGTGTATCAGATATATCAGGACATATGTAAAAGATTATTGGTTGCCATATTATTTTAAGTAGCAAAAAGAAAAGAAAAAATCAAATAACCAAAATGTTTGTCTTTAGGAGGTTAACACTGCTCAATGAAATAAAAATAGCATGCTTGAGAACACTTATTTATAGGATGGGCATGTTTTTGGTTTGTTTTAACAAAAAAGAGAAATGTAACTGTGTATAAATGGCCACTTATACATAGAAAAAAATTCATGAAGGTAATACATCAAACCACTAATAATGGGTACTTCTGGAGAAAAGGATTAGGAATATTTTCACTAACCTTATAACTCTGATATATTAGTTAAAAATTTTTTTTATCACAAACAACTGTTTTTGTATAAAAAAGAAAAAAATTTAAATTGGTTATAGATTTTTTTTTTTTTTTAAAGTCAGAGTCTCACTCTGTTGCCCAGGCTAGAAGTGCAGTGGCATGATCCTGGCTCATCACAGCCTTGTCCTCTTGGGCTCAGGGAATTCTTCACCTCAGCATCCCGAGTAGCTGCAATTATAGGTACACAGCTACCATACCTGACTAATTTTAAAGGTTTTTTTTTTTTGTTTGTTTGTTTTGTAGAGATGAAGTCTCACTGCATTGCCCAGGCTGGGCTCAAATACCTGGGCTCAAATAATCCTCCCACCTCAGCCTCCCAAAGTGGTGGGATTATACACATAAACCACCACACCCAGCCAGTGTTAGAGTATCTGGAAAGTCATCTATAAAGTTTAGATTTTTTTGCCAGGTGCAGTGGCTTACGCCTGTAATCCTAGCACCTTAGGAGGTAGAGCCGAGAGGATTACCTGAGACCAGGGGTACAAGACCAGCCTGGGCAACTTGGCGAGACCTCATCTCTACAATTAATCAAAAAATTAGCCGAGCGTGGTGGTGTGTGCCTGTGGTTCCAGCTACTTGGAAGGCTGAGGTGGAAGGATCGCCTGAGCCCAGCAGATCAAGGCTACAGTGGCAGCAAGCGTGCCACTGCACTCCAACCTGGGTGACAGTGACTGTGACGCAAAAAAAAAAAAGTTCAGATTGTTATTTCTTAGGCAGAAGGGAACATTATTTTAGGGGTGACAGTTCGGTTTTGTTAGATTATTCTATTACAAAATTTACTATTCAGGTATAATTATGTACCACACACTAAATTAGGTGTATTATACACGAGTGCTTAGCACATAGTTGATTTCCAAATGTCATTTCCTTTGCCCCACTTTGAGTTTTGTTTTCTGAGTTTTGAAAACTTGTCGGTTTTCAAAAAGAGAAACTTTATTTTTGTAATAAAATAAGCAATTTAATATATAATACCAAAAATATTAATACCTACTAAATATTTAAGCTTAAATTTAAGCTTAAATTTGAGATTGTTTCCTACTTCCAAATCCAGTGCTTTTCTCATTAATTTTATAGCTGTAATCAGAGCTATTCTCCAAGCAGATTAATTATACAATTGATAAAATAGGCCAAGGGAGAAAGGAAGAGACTGGATTCATCTAATATAGGTGCCAAAGTAAGAGCTGATGCCAAGAAATAGGGAAAGGGAGATGGGAGAGTTGGGGTAGGGAGAGGAGCTATCTGGATATGGTACCTAAATGTATTTGTAAAGACCTGCTATTGGGATAAGGGAAATGCTGAGTGAAGAACCATGGTGACTCAAGTTTTTGTTGTTGTTGTTTTTGAGTTGGAGTCTCACTCTGTCCCCCAGGCTGGAGTGCAGTGGCACAATCACGGCCCCCCAGCGTCGACCTGCTGGGCTTAGGTGATCCTTCCACCTCAGCCTTCCAAGTAGCCGGAACTACAAGTGCGCGCTATAATTTTTTGAAAATTTTTGATATATTTTAGAGACTAGGTCTCACTAAGTTGCCCAGGCTGGTCTCAAACCCCTGGGCTCAGGGCAGTCTTCTCAATTTGGCCTCCCAAAGTGCTGGTATTACAGGTTGAGCCACCATGCCCAGCCAACTCAAGGTTTGAAACATCAGTTAATTGTTCTTGGTGGTACCATCACAAATAAAGAACATCTGAGAAAACATAGGTGTTTAAAGGGAATTGATGATTTTGAGTTTGTGCATGTCTTGATTGTTAAAATTACCATTTATAGACACTGAAGGCTTTAGGTAAACATACTTTCTTAGAAACATGCTATTAATGATTTTGAATAAAACTGAGTCATATTTTATTCTTAGCAGCAGGGACTACAACAGACAGCCCCTCCTCAACAGACAGTGCAGTATTCTCTTCCACAGACATCAGCCTCCAGCGAGGCCACTATTACACAGCCAGTGAGTCAGGCTAAAGCTCCACAGGTCTTGCCTCAAGTATCATCTGGAAAACAGGTAAAGTCTTAATTTCTGAAAGGATGCTAAAAGAGATTCTCTATGTAACTTGTCCTTTTATCTGTGTAGACTTCTACCTTCTCTTCTAATACCGGCTGAAAAGTTGGTTCATCTCACTGCAAAAATGAGGTGAAAATCACTCTATCTGCACATATGCATTGTTTAATATAAATAGGTACATTACCGACAACAACAATCTAAAAATGTTTGACTTTGTAGTCTTACCAGTGTAAAATAGATTTGACAGGTGTTAGAACTAATGGGTTAAATAAAGGTACTTTGGTAACTGAATCCTTGACATTCTCTAGAATTGTGTCAGCTACATCTGATATTCTAGGTTTGCAACTATGCTTTATTTTCATGTAGATTTCTGCAGTTTTCTTCCTCATTGTCTACTGACAGTAAGTCATGAGTGTTCCTTACATGGAATGGTGTCTTTTGGGGTCTTTTTTGTTTTTTTCTAAGTAGCCCTTTTAAGAAAAGGACTTATGCTCTTCCTAATGACCTTTTTTCAGTTCTATCTTTGGGTATTGTAAGTGTATGTGCATAGTATATTTGTTACTTTAATATTTCATCGCATCTGAGATGCCAAATCCACCATTATTTTATGTAACACTGAGTACTGACACATTCAGTTACCACATATGTAAGATCCCAATTTCCCGAGTTTTAAAATGACCAGGTAGTGATTGTATCCTAAAACTAGTGAAATATGTTAATTATACCTACTTTTATAGACTTAAGCATTGTAGAAGTAATGTGAATGAATTCTAATTCCACTGAGAAGAAATTCATATGAATTTCAGTAACTACTGTAAAAGCAGTGATAGATTTAGTGACAGCATTATGGTATGTGAAATATATCCCAATAAAGTTGTTTAAAAAAAAAAACCCTTGCCTGTGGAAGGGTCTCATTTTATTGCCAAATGATGAAACATTAGCAAACATACAACCAAAGGTTTGGAAGGGTAGCAGTCTATTTAACCTCTTTGTCTCCTGCTATCCTTTCTATATTCTTATGTGGTGTATTAACTTACACTAATGTATGCAGAGTTTATTGGATTTTTTTTCCTTCTTTTTGGCTAATACATAAATCTTGCTTTTGGCAGCCTTGCTTTTTTTTTTTTTTTAAAGCCTGTCTGTTTTGTTTTTCTTTACCTTCCCAGCTTCCAGTTTCCCAGCCAGTACCAACTATCCAAGGCGAACCTCAGATCCCAGTTGCGACACAACCCTCAGTTGTTCCAGTCCACTCTGGTGCTCATTTCCTCCCAATGGGACAGCCACTTCCTACTTCCTTGCTCCCTCAGTACCCTGTCTCTCAAATTCCCATTTCAACTCCTCATGTGTCTATGGCTCAGACAGGTTTCTCATCTCTTCCCATCACAATGGCAGCTGGCATTAATCAGCCTCCACTCACGTTGGCTTCATCTGCTGTGCCAGCTGTGATCCCAGGGGGATCAACTGTGGTTCCTAGCCAACTTCCAACTGTTTTGCAGCCAGTGACTCAGCTGCCAAGTCAGGTTCACCCACAGCTCGTACAACCAGTAGTTCAGTCCATGGGAATACCAGCTAACCTTGGACAAGCTGCTGAGGTTCCACTTCCCTCTGGAGATGTTCTGTACCAGGTATTGTGTTAGCTAGCAAAAAAGGAGTGTACCAGAGGGTTTGATTCTAGTAGGCAGTCAAGAACTTGGTAATCTAATAGTTGAATGAATAGCTAGCAATAACAAAAGTTGCCAATCTCAACTAGAGAACTAAAATAGTAAAATTCCAAGAAAGGATAGGGTGATGATGTCTGATGATTCCTTATTCATTCTTCTCAAGACGCTTCTTTAGATCAAAATAGTTCTCTCAGTAATCAATGTAAGCTTATAAATGTGGTTAATAGAGTATATCAGGCTACTTTTTTTCTATATAGGTAGAATAAGTAAAATAACATGGTATCAACAAAGTTTCAGGGTTTAGATTTAGAAGATTAGCATTTCATAATATGACTAGACTGATTGTTACTTGAAAGAGTTTTTGTATTCTAACTGGAAAAAAATTAGGTCTATTCCTATTAAAATTATCTCCAGGGATAGAAAGAACAATCTGAAGTATGACTGTAGCGTCCTTTCCCTTATACTGGAACCAGCCAACTACTTCAAGAATATGGTCTTCAAGATCCATAAAATTATCATTGAACATCAATATAACCCTTAATAGGGTTATTTTGGGTTTTTTTGCATTTCTAGAAAAACAGAACTCTCAAATTCATAGTTTCTGATTCAAGCTTATGTACCATCTGAAACTAAATCAAAGCACTCGTTAAAAAAAGAATACAGTCTTCAAATATCCTTTCGATTATTAGAAAGAAAAGAGATTGGCTACTATTCTTTGCTGTGTGCTTTCTTTTTTTTATTTTTACTATTATTATTATTATTTTTTTGCATGTCTTGCTGTTTTGCTAATTTGATGACCCAACCTGTACTAACTCACCTTCCTCATTTCTGTCACAGGGCTTCCCACCTCGACTACTGCCACAATACCCAGGAGATTCAAATATTGCTCCCTCTTCCAACGTGGCTTCTGTTTGCATCCATTCTACAGTCCTATCCCCTCCCATGCCAACAGAAGCATTGGGTGCACCTGGTTACTTTCCTACAATGGTGCAGCCTTATGTGGAATCAAATCTTTTGGTTCCTATGGGTGGTATAGGAGGACAGGTTCAAGTGTCCCAACCAGCAGTGAGTTTAGCACAACAAGCCCCCACTACATCCTCCCAGCAAGCAGTTCTGGAGGTAAATGGAATTACTGCATGTTGTGTATAAAACATGTGTGTGTGTGTACATATAACACACATATACATACATATATATATATATATAAAGGGATAAAAATGATAAAAGAGAAACATAGGCTCCCCTGGTTTAGAACTCATTTGGAGACTATGTCAAACTAACTTTCGAATGACTTTTTTTTACAGCAGAGTGAAATGCCAATGTGGGGGCATTGTTGCCACTGGCTGTTCTGTTGGGAAGTGAGTGTGCCTTGGAGAAGATTAACCCTATTAGCACTTCACTTCTCTAACTCATACTTTAGCCGTTATTCTTGTCCTTTCACAAACTTTTGCCATTGGCAGTCATGAGAGTATCTTACCCTGCTGTGCTCCCAGCAATCATTTTTGTCCTCCTAGGAGAACGATCTGAATTTGTCTTTGCACTTTGCTCTGCCTGCCCTATTGCATTCTGGTAAGAGGCTGGCTGCATGGCAAGTTGTAGTTTCACACTGCCTAGCAAATATGTGGCTGACGCACCATGCAGTCTATACAAAGACTAGCTTTAGAAACTTCCTTTGGAATTTTAAGACCACTGTCTCTAGATGCTGAATATTGAGAATTATTAGTCAATTTAGAGCTTCTAGGACGTAGGGGGGTATTTTTTTTAAGTAGCTTTTTTAGGGATACTGTATGGTAAATGTATTACTGCCAACATCTGAATTATTTTTTCCATCCACAGAGTACTCAGGGAGTCTCTCAGGTTGTTCCTCCAGAGCCAGTTCCAGCAGCACAGCCACAACCCACCCAGCCTGCCACGTTGGCTTCCTCTATAGACAGGTCAGTAAAACTAAAATTTTCCTCCTTGACTGATAGGTAGGAGTACATGAACTACAGAATATCAGACTTTTAAATCTCTTATTGCAAACCGAACTTTCTTTTTTCTCAAAGTGCACATTCAGATGTTGCTTCAGGTATGAGTGATGGCAATGAGAATGCCCCATCTTCCAGTGGGAGACATGAAGGAAGGACTACAAAACGGCATTATCGAAAATCTGTGAGGAGTCGCTCTCGACATGAAAAGACTTCACGCCCAAAATTAAGAATTTTGAATGTAGGTATTGCTGCCTTGTGGGCTTCATGTTGTTAAGGGAATCTGAAAAGTATTTTAGAGGTCATAAATCCAAGGCACTCAATTAAGTAAAGATAACCTTGTCTTTGTGTGATAATGTAATTTATGTAGTACTCTACTCATTTACTCCTGACAGTCCCTTGAATTGGGTATCACATTTTTTACCTGGAAAATGAAAATTTAGCTCATAAAGCTATAATATATCGTGCAGTTATTGCCATTTAAATATTTCTTTAGATTCAGGTGAATTGGTAAATGTTTAGGACCTTCTCATTACCCAGATGATAATCTTAAATTCCATATTTCTACAGTAAGGCACTATTTACCTTTTAGAAAAAGAATAGTTTTAGTAAGTAGCTTAAAGGCTGTTATCTTCTCAAAGATTTTCTTACTACCAGTTTAAGAAGCAAAGTACAGCTGGGCTTGGTGGCTCAGCCTGTAATCCTGCATCTTTGGGAGGCTGAGGTGAGTAGATTGCCTGAGCCCGCGGGTCCGAGACCTGCCTGGGCAGCGAGACCTCATCTCTACAATAAATCAAAAAATCAGCGGGCATGGTAGTATGCCTGTAATTCCGGCTCCTTGGAAGGTTGAGGCGGAAGGATCGCCAAAACCCAGCGGGTCAAGGCTGCCGTGGCCGGGAGCAGCCACTGTACTCCAGTCTGGGCGACCAAGTGAGACTCCGACTCAAAAAAAAGAAGCAGAGTACTAGTGCTCCAAGGAACAATGATAACACTATGCTTCTTCAGATGTAAATTCAAGTGCTGATATGCAATCTCTTCTCAAATTTTGTAAGAAAGCTGAATGTGGTCTTCTGAGTTGAAGTATCTTTTCTTTTATCTTTCTAGGTTTCAAATAAAGGAGACCGAGTAGTAGAATGTCAATTAGAGACTCATAATCGGAAAATGGTTACATTCAAATTTGACCTAGATGGTGACAACCCTGAAGAGATAGCAACAATTATGGTATGTCTTCATTTAGAATTCCGAATTTAATCTGGGCTCGGTGGCTCAGCCTGTAATCCCGCGCCTTTGGGAGGCCCAGGTGAGTGGATTGCCCGAGCCTGCGGGTTCGAGACCCGCCTGGGCAGGCGTGACCTCATCTCTACAATAAAATCAAAAAAAATTAGCCAGGCGTGGTAGCACGCGCCTGTAATTCCGGCTACTCGGAAGGCTGAGGCGGAAGGATCGCCGGAGCCCAGCAGGTCGAGCCTGCGGTGGCCAGGAGTGGCCACTGCACTCCTGTCAGGGCGACAAAGTGAGACTCCAACTCAAAAAAAAAAGAATTCCGAATTTCTCCTTTGTATTTGATCTTACTATCCATTGCCCTAAATAATTATGCAATATTTTGCAATCCATATTTATTTTGAAGTTATATATTTATTCCAGTGTGAATATAACTAGCACTTGCAACCTGTGGTTTACACATTTTTGTTGTTGTTGTTGAAGATATGTCTAACTAGTATTAATGTTCTTAAAAAGGGAAGTGCTAACTTGAATACCAGATAAATAGTAATACTGGTAGTATGCAGCTAGGTCAGAAGTCATAAAAGTGATAGTTGACTTAAAGCTTGAGAAATGTTGGAGTAATCAGACTGACATCACATTTCTTTTGCAGGTGAACAATGACTTTATTCTAGCAACAGAGAGAGAGTCATTTGTGGATCAAGTACGGGAAATTATTGAAAAAGCTGATGAAATGCTCAGTGAGGATGTCAGTGTGGAACCAGAGGGTGACCAGGGAATGGAGAGTCTACAGGGAAAGGATGACTATGGCTTTTCAGGGTCTCAGGTAGGTTCACAGTTCCCATAATGAAACTTTATTAAAATATTTCCATAGAACTAAATGACTGTGCAAAGTATTCAGTGATATTACATTATACCTATGACTGAGAACATTTTATTTCTCTTTGCATGTGGCCGTTCGCTTGCCTAATCATTGAGATTGCATTTGAGAATAAATTTAATCACCTTTGTTTGTTGTAGAAATTGGAAGGAGAGTTCAAACAACCAGTTGCTGCATCTTCCATGCCACAACAAATAGGTGAGTTTATATTCTTAGTTTTTATCTTTGATTTAAGAAATTGTGGCCGGGCTTGGTGGCTCAGCCTATAATCCCACACTTTGGGAGGCCGAGGTGAGTGGATTGCCTGAGCCCGCGGGTTCGAGACCCGCCTGGGCAACTTGGCGAGACCTCATCTCTACAATAAATCAAAAATTTAGCTGGACGTGGTAGCGCGCACCTATAGTTCCAGCTACTTGGAAGGCTGAGGCGGAAGGATCACCGGAGCCCAGTGGGTGGAGCCTGCGGTGGCCAGGAGCGACCACTGCACTCCAGTCTGGGTGACAGAGTGAGACTTCAACTCAAAAATTAAAAAAAAAAAAAGAGGTTATGTAGCCAATAAGGAAATCTGGAAGCTTCATGTTGGTAACACTATATTTTTGTTCCTTCTTTTGACCAGGTATTCCTACCAGTTCTTTAACTCAAGTGGTTCATTCTGCGGGAAGACGGTTTATAGTGAGTCCTGTGCCAGAAAGTCGATTACGAGAATCAAAAGTTTTCACCAGTGAAATACCAGATACAGGTAAGGAATTGATTCTACCACATTCTTAGTAAATCCTTCCATATCTCTACTATATTGGAAGCTTGATTATCAAGCAGTAATTTGTGATTACATAGATAATGGAAAAGAATAGAAAATTGAGATTATAACCAACAGATAAACATATGGAGGAGGGAAGTAAATGATGACTAGAGAGGATTAAAGAAAAAGAGCCAAAAAGAACAGCCATACTAGATGTAGCCTATGCAGTGGGTACTATGGTATGTGTTTATTTTAGTACCTTTGTATGTACTTGAAGGTTATTACTTTTTTTTATTTTTAGAAATAGATATTTATACAAGCTGATTTATTGTATCAAATTCCTGTTTTACCTGACTGTTTTAGAGCCTATCATTTCTTTGGGGGAGGTTGTAAACTTTGTTGGTTTGTGAAATTGGTACTCCAAACACAGGTTGTTAGGACAGTCTTTTCAATCCACCTTTTTAAAATGGGCTGATTTTGGTTTTTTGTTTTTCTTTGCAGTTGCGGCCTCTACATCTCAGAACGCTGGAATGAACTTGTCTCACTCTGCTTCATCCCTTAGTCTACAACAGGCTTTTTCTGAACTTAGACATGCCCAAATGACAGAAGGACCCAATACAGCACCTCCTAACTTTAGTCATACAGGACCAACATTTCCAGTAGTACCTCCTTGCTTAAGTAGCATTGCTGGAGTTCTGACTGCAGCAGCAGCCACACCTTCAGTATCAGTCCCTGCAACAGGCAGTCCTCTTAATGACACTTCCACATCAGTAATTCAGTCTGAGGTTACCGTGCCCACTGAAAAAGGGGTTGCTGGCACAGGTGTGGCAACTTCAGGTGGTCTCCCTGTGCCACCTGTGTCTGAATTGCCAGTCCCTTCCAGTGTAGTTTCAAGTATTCCAGTACCTGCAGTTGTCTCAATATCTGCTGCGTCCCAGCCACTTCAGGCCTCTTTATCTGGGAGCATTGTTTCTAGTGCAGGCACTTTTCCTTCTGTAACAGTTTCAGTGACTTCAGCCTCTGCAGTGGGCAGTGCTGCTGCCACAGGTGCTCAGCCTCCTGCTGTGTTATCTCAGCAGGCAGCAGGTGGTACTCCTGTGGTAACCACACTAACATCTGTTTCTACCGCCACTTCATTCCCAAGCACAGCCTCACAGCCGTCCCTTCAGCTTAGCAGCAGCACCTCTGCTCCTACTCTAGCTGAAACAGTGGTGGTTAGTGCACACTCACTAGATAAGACATCTCACAGCAGTGCAACTGGATTGGCTTTTTCCCTTTCTGCACCATCTTCCTCTTCCTCCCCTGGAACAGGAGTGTCTAGTTCTGCTGCTCAGCCAGGTGGAATGTATCCTGTGGTCATCCCATCAGTGGTAGGTTCTACTCCTGTTCTTCCCCAAGCAGCGGGACCTACGTCTACACCTTTATTACCCCAAGTACCTAGTATCCCACCCTTAGTACAACCTGTTGCCAATGTGCCTGCTGTGCAGCAGACACTGATTCATAGTCAGCCTCAACCAGCTTTGCTTCCCAACCAGCCCCATACTCACTGTCCTGAGGTAGATGCTGATACACAACCCAAAGCTCCTGGGATTGATGACATAAAGACTCTGGAGGAAAAGCTGCGGTCTCTCTTTAGTGAGCACAGCTCATCTGGAGCTCAGCATGCCTCTGTCTCACTGGAGACATCACTCATTGTAGAGACCACTGTCACACCGGGCGTCCCGACCACTGCTGTTGCACCAAGCAAACTCATGACTTCCACTACAAGTACTTGCTTACCACCAACCAACTTGCCATTAGGAACAGCTGCTTTGTCAGTTATACCAGTGAGTACACCTGGGCAGGCTTCTACCCCAGTCAGCGCTACTTCAGGAGTGAAACCTGGAACTATTCCCTCAAAACCACCTTTAACTAAGGCTCCGGTAAGATTCTTATTATAAAATAATTAGATAAGGCCGGGCTTGTTGGGTTAGCCTGTAATCCCAGCATTTTGGGAGACTGTGGCAAGTTGATTGCCTTAGACCGCAAGTTCGCTACCCACCTGGGCAACTTGGTGAGACCTTATCTCTACAATAAATCAAAAATTAGCTGGGTGTGGTGGCACACGCCTGTAGTTCTAGCTACTTGGAAGGCTGAGGCGGAAGGATCACCGGAACCCAGCAGGTCAAGGCTGTGGTGGCCGGGAGCATGCCACTGCACTCCAGTCTGGGCGACAGAGTGAGGCTCCAACTCAAAAATAAATAAATAAATAATTAGGTAAATATGATCACTCTTTTTTCTTCCTAAAAAAGTATGTTTTCCAACTTAGCCTTGCAAGTTAGAAACGTAGTTATAAAGGTACGTGGCTTACAATATTTATTAAATTAGCAGCAGTTTTGGGATATATGTACATTGATCACATGACTTTTCCCCTTCTTTTGAGCTATGCGAGATTTTCTAAGAATGTGTAATTATTAAGTAAAATACAGGCATTTCTTCAAATTGGCACAAACTGATGAAATCTATACCCCAAAATGGCAGCTAAGTATATCTTTCTGCAAAATATACATAGTAACAGCAGTTCACAGTCTTTGTTTCAGTGAAAATAAAGCAAATTTTGTGCTTTGTTGTAGGTAACACAGATATACAATTTGGGGCTTATAAAAAACTTGGAAGTTAGTGATGAAATTGATGTAGAGGAAGAAGAAATAATCTAATCCTAGAACAAAAATACCTAGAATGTATTTTCCAATTCTCCTGTGTTCGATTTCCTCTTATTCTACCATCTTTAACCTCTCTAACGTCTCCAAATAACAAGGCTTTGTATCATGTCTACTGTATTGTGTGCTTCAGCCATCTTTCTGCATTGCCATTCATACACGTTTCTTTTTGCAGGAGGATAATACAAAATCTAAACTCAGACAAAATAGGAGTTGCTTGATAGTGTTAGATATCTGATGCCTTTTGTTATCAGACCCACCCCTTGGTTATTTCTGAACCTGCTACTGTTGTTAGTTTTGTTTGTTTGTTGGGGCTTTTTTGGTAAAAGTCTCGTTTTTCTAAGCAAAAACCTGACGATATTGTACCAAATAAGTGATTTTGTACTTAAGAATAACTGGACTGTACCTCACATGTACATACAGCCTTTGTTCTCTCTGTTTTCCCTAGAGAACAACTTTTTACTATTCATCTTATCTCAGTATGTTTGTAACACCCCAAACAGTATCCTTGGTTGTCATGTACTTTATTTAAAACAGATACCAGAATGCAACCCAGGTGATAAGCATGGCCATGGCTTCAATAGAGAAATTTTATGCTTACGTTTGTGCTTTCAAATTAGTTGATTTGCTCTTTGGTATGCAGTCTTTACTATAAGTGTCTCATGGACTTGAATTTCCCTTCATTGTCTATAGGTACTGCCAGTGGGTACTGACCTTCCAGCAGGTACTCTGCCCAGCGAGCAGCTGCCACCTTTCCCAGGACCTTCACTAACTCAGGTGCCACAAGGCTTAGCAGATTTATTTCTGTACCCCTACTTTCTTTCACAAAGCTTGTTTAAATTCTTTATTGCATGATCTTGGCTTCTGCCTCCTATTTGGCATTGACTTAGTAACACTACTCTTTTCTAAAACTTTGTAGCTAATGACCCAGACCCTACTTAAAGCAAGAAACTTCATAGTTCCATTGTCTGTAGTGTTGCTTCAGGTCATCTAGAAAACATTTGATATTAATATTTCTTAATAGCTTATGAAGGAAAAAAAAATACAAAATTGACCTTTTGCCAGATCCAGATGATAACTCCTTATCGTTCATACTTTTGTAGAATAGTGAAATTGCATTTTAAATATAAGGTTACATTCTAAGCCATTGTGGACTTCAAAATTATATTTAATCAAAATTAACAGCTGAGCTCGGTGGCTCAGCCTGTGATCTCAGCACTTTGGGAGGCCGAGGCAAGTGGATTGCCTGAACCCATGGGTTCAAGACCAGCCTGGGAAACTTGGTGAGACTTCGTCTCTAAGGTAAATCAAAAATTAGCCAGGCACAGTAGGGTGCGCCTGTATTTCCAGCTACTTGGAAGGCTGAGGCGGAAGGATTGCCTGAGCCCTGCAAGTTGACACTGGGGTGGCTGTGAGCGTGCCACTACACTCTAGCCTCGGCAACAGAGTGAAACTCCAACTAAAAAAAAAAAATTTAATTTCAAAAGCTACTTAGAAAAAGCACATTTATAACTGATAAACTCTTTTGATGAGTCCAGTGTAGCCAGTTGTTTCTTGAATGTTTATCATTTCCTTCATTGACCATCTAATAAAGTAATTACTTTATATTTAGGTAGGTATAGGAGTGATGTTCCATTTTTTAAAAATCTGCATCTTTTAATACAAAAATCATCCAGTTTAGCAAGATGCTAGCATTATGAGATTACTACCCACAGAGAAACAGAGACTAGCAACATGAACTTGAGTTTCCTGTCTCATACTCAGTAAAATGGTGGTCAGAATTACTTGTACTATCCAAATTATTATTTCCTTCTCCCATCCCACCCCCCACCAAATATATTCAGTTGAATTTCCATAGAATACTTGTCATTAATCCATTGTAATCATGAAAAACTTCTGATATGGGACAAGGTAGTAAACTTTGGGGAAAAAAAGGAATTTATTTTAGAACTGTTTGTAAGAAAAACGTGACATACTGTTTTCTTGGGAAGACTAGTCTGAATTTATCCCTACTTCTTTGATCCTGATATATGAGGGGGGGCCCCAAAGAAACAGAATTATCTTTTGGAGGGGGACCTGAAGGGGTGGCTTGGATTCATATTCTTAAAGTGTGATGAGAAACAGCAAATTAGACATGTGGAAGGGTAGGATCAGTGGCTAGTGCCTAGATACAGAGGGAGAAGCACAAATGAAGGCTCTAGAAGATTAGGTTGATAGAAGCCAAGACAAATGTAGGATTAGAGACTGTGGCAAAGTTGGAAGCTATGGCCCTAGGGACAGATGGTAGTGAGGCCTAGTTAATAGAATGGAATGCCCAGACCTCCTTGCTGCCAGTCAAAGGGCAGAAGAAGTATACATTGTAAGATCCAAAGAAGAGAATAATATCCTGGTGACAGAATATTTTAACACCATCTTTTATTCATAGAGACAAGTTCCCAGAAAGGTGTGTAAAATGGAGAAAGAAAGGCCGGGCGCGGTGGCTCAGCCTGTAATCCCAGCACCTTGGGAGGCTGAGGCGAGAGGATTGCCTAAGCCTAGGGGTTCTAGACCAGCTGGGGTAACTTGATGCGACCTCGTCTCTACAATAAATCAAAAAATTAGCTGGGTGTGGTGGTGCGTGCCTGTAGTTCCAACTACTTGGAAGGCTGAGGCGGAAGGATTGCCTAAGCCCAGCAGGTTGAGGCTGCGATGGTCGGAAGTGGGCCACTGCCCTCCAATCTGTGCGAGAGTAAGTCTCCAATTCAAAAAATAAAAATAAATAAATAGAAAGAGAGAGGGAGAAAGACTATAGGGAGCATGGGATACAGTTAATATACCAATAGATCTTTATGCATTTTTTAGAATATATTTTTAAAGAGAAGACAACTTTTTATCACTTTGAGTAACATCAAACATAGAAGACTTTGAAACTGCCAAAACAGGAATTGCTTGAGAGACTGACATACAATCTTGAGAAACTGGTAAAATCATCAAAGGAATATACTGTTTTAGTAGATTGAGTTTTATATGTTCAGTGAAGACAGTGCTGTGTTGTGTCAATCTGAAGCATAAAATAGTATATCCTATCTAAATAGGCTATATATAGTAGCTTTTAAGGTGATAAAATGTTATGTTTACTGTGATTGTTTTTGTTCAGTCTCAGCAACCTCTAGAAGATCTTGATGCTCAATTGAGAAGAACACTTAGTCCAGAGACTATTATGGTGACATCTGCAGTTGGTGTAAGTTTTAAAAATCTTGATAAAATCTCCTCATAACCCTAATACATTCCTGGAACTCAAACTGAAACTATACTAAACCATTAATACCTTTAACACATCTGCTTGTTCTATCCAATAGAAATGAGATAAATTAATGAAAGATTAACACTGGTCCACTAGAATGGAAAATTGATTTGAAAGATAATTTTCTAGTCTTACCTTTAGTTATATCACACATCAATTATGTGGCTTTTATATTTATGCTTTGGTGGAGGCTAAACTTTGTGAGACAATGTTTTGATTAAAACTATTCTATGAGCAGCCAAGTTATATACTCTTAAGCGTCCAATGAGAAAAATTAAGATAGCCTTCAAGAAAGTTTAAGACTCAAACTTACCTCTTAAAAAAGCTGCTTTTCTTTATGTCAGACTTTCTTTTAACGTTTTTAGGCTGTTAAAAGAAAATTCTCCTAGACAGAACTGTTTCTCACATTTGCTGTCTTCTTTTCCTTCTACAAAGATCAGAGGAAAGGCAAAAGTGTGAGTGACTGAAGCTACAGGTTTTGTGATGTCTGTGTATGTGTGTGTGTGTTTTGCAGCCTGTGTCCGTGGTGGCTCCAACAGCGGGTACGGAAGCAGGAGCACCGCTTCAAAAGGATGGTGAGACGCATCTTCTTCCTTGTGTATTACTGATTCCAGTCCTACCTGTAGCTGGTTGTAGAGGCGTATTATTTTAAAGACATATTCTTGAGAATATCGGTATATTTGAGACTTATAAGGAACATGCTTATGTACTTCGTAACTGAGGAGCATTGATAGTAAAGTGTAAAGAATTAACAAATTAATGAATCTAATACTGGGGGGAGCATTCTGCAGAAGGTAATGATGGGGCTGCATTTTTATCAGCTTTGTTATCAGCTAGGCCAGATTCTTACTATGAGAGATTAGGAAATTCAAGCATTCTATATTTATAAAAAGTAATTTACTGATAACCTCTTGGCTTTTGTGATACTGACTCTCTTCGGATAGAGATAAGCTTGTACAGCCTGGACAGACATTTGTTTTCAGTTGATCAGCTTAAATGATTTTATTTACAAGGAAATTACTTTTTGAATTGGCTCTCTTTTTTTATCTTAAAGATGTGGGTTACAATTCAGGGTTAGGTATACAAATGTTCATTATGCAGGTGCCCTTGTTGAGGTGGTGTGCCCCTCCCTCCCCCGGCAGTTTGCCTCAATTGCCAGTCCCATCCCTTCCCCTGGCAGTTTCCCACTACTGCCACTCCCTTTCTTATAATATCATGTTAATTGTTCATATGGTACCCTGTTCTTTGTTCCTGTGATATATCACTGAGTATAATAGACTCTAAATCCATCCAAGTTGCTGCGAAGTCCATATGTTTGTCCCCCTTTTTTTTTTTTGAGTTGGAGTCTCACTCTGTCTCTCAGGCTGGAGTGCAGTGGCATGCTCATAGCCACCCCAGCGTCGACCTGCTGGGCTCCAGCAATCTTTCCACCTCAGCCCTCCAAGTAGCCAGAACTACAGGCACGTGCTACCATACCCGGCTATTTTTTTTTTAATTGTAGAGACGAGGTCTTGCCGTGTTGCCCAGGCTTATCTCAAACCCACAGACTCAGGCAATCCTCTCACCTCAGCCTCCCCAAAGTGCTGGGATTACAGGCTGAGCCACTGAGCCCAGCCTGTTTGTCCTTCTTTATGGCTGCAAAATATTCCGTTGTGTATATGTACTACATTTTTTAAAATCCAGTCCAGCTTCGATGGTCAGCATGGTTGGTTCCATGTTTTTGCTATTGTGAAAGAGCTGCAACAAACATGCAAGTACAGATATCTTTTTGGTAGAATGACTTGAGTTCCTTTGGGTGTATTCCCAATATTGGGGATTGCTGGGTCATATGGAAGGTCACCCCTACTAACATCCCTAGATAGATCATTGAAGCAAAACATCAACAAGGAGATCGAGAACCTAAACTTGACACTCTACCAAATAGATTACCTACAGAATTTTCTACCCAACAACCACAGAATATACATTCTACTCATTACCACATGAGATGTACTCCAAGATCGATCACATCTCGGCCATAAATTAAGCATAAACAAATTCTGTAAGGTTGATATATTGCCATGCAAGTTCTCAGACCACAGTGGAATAAAAATAAATATCAACACCAACAAAACTCCCCCAAAACCCATATAGACATGGACACTAAACAGCATGATGCTAAACAACTATGGGTCAACACTGAAATCAAAACAGAAATTAAAATATTCCTGAAAACAAATGAAAATGAGGAAATATCTTACCAAAACCTCTAGGATACCAGGAAAGCAGCTCTAAGAGGGGAATTTATGTCTCTACGAACACACATCAAGAAAATGGAAAGATCACAAGTTGACAACCTAACAAATAACCAAAGGGGGCTGGAAAGAGAAGACCACCAAAACCCTAACTTTTAGTAGAAGAGTCCAGATCACCAAAATAACCCAAATACGGGACATAGAAGACATAAATGTCATAGAAAACATCAACAAAGCAAAAAACTGGTTCTTTGGAAGAAATAACAAAATTGATGGCTCTCTCATTTTCACAGAAGTCACTTGGAAATCAGAGGAACTGACTAGAAAGTATAGAAAAGGACAAATTAAAGGAGAGTGTAGATTATCAAAATATGTTATCTAGGCTGGGCTCAGTAGCTCAGCCTTTAATCTCAGCACTTTGGGAGACCAAGGCGAGTGGATTGCCTGAGCCCATGGGTTTAAGACCAGCCCGGGCAACTTGGTGAGACCTCATCTCTACAATAAATAAAAAATTACCCAGGCGTGGTAGCACGCACCTGTAGTTCCAGCTACTTGGAGAGCTGAGATGGAAGAATAATTGGAGCCCAGCAGGTAGACGCTGGGGTAGCTGTGAGCATGCCTGCCACTGTACTCCAGCCTGGGTGACCGAGTGAGACTCCAACTCAAAAAACCATGTTATCAGCTTAAATGTATAACAATGACAATTAATAAAATAAAGTTTACTACTAATAAAAAGGAAATGTAGATCATGAGAAAAGGTGACCTTTCAAATCAGAAAAAGATGGAATATTTTAATAAATGATTTAGAACAACTGAATAACAACCATCTTGAAAAAAGTAAAGGTGAATCACTAGCCTAAAACTAAGTAAACACCAAATAGCCCTAAGATGAAAAATTGTATGATAAAATAGTACTACAAGAAAACTTGAGAGGAATTTTGTTTTTAATCTCCAGAGCAGGGTTGACAAACTTTTTTCTATAGAGAACCAGATAGTAAAAAATGTTAGAGCCAGGCTCGGTGGCTCAGCCTATAATCCCGTGCCTTTGGGAGGCTGAGGTGAGTGGATTGCCTGAGCCCGCGGGTTTGAGACCCGCCTGGGCAGCAAGACCTCATCTCTACAATAAAAATTTAAAAATCAGCCAGACATGGTAGCGCATGCCTGTAATTCTGGCTACTCGGAAGGCTGAGGCGGAAGGATCACCGGAGCCCAGCAGGTGAGGCTGCGGTGGCCGGGAGTGGCCACCGCACTCTAGTCTGGGCGACCGAGTGAGACTTCAACTCAAAAAAAAAAAAAATGTTAGGCTTTGTAGGCTATACAGTCTTTTTTTTACAACTTAGTCAAATCTCCTGTTACATCCCAAAAGTAGTAGTAGATATTATGTAAATGAGTTTAATTGTACTCCAATAAAATTCATTTACAAAAACAGGCAGTGAGCTGAATTTAGTTCACTTTTCATAGTTTGCTATTCCCTGATATAGAGGAAGGTGTTAGGAAGTTTAATGCCCAACCCCGAAGCAAGCAGTAATAGGTTTTTAAATTTCTACATGGAGAAAATAGTGCCGAGGGTGCAAAGATAAATGAAAAACTAGAGAAATACATACATCGGGGTGGGGAGGGGTACATGTAGCCATTTCACAAAAAGGACTAGTTTTCTAATACAAAGAATTCCTAAAATTTAGCATGAATCAAAAAGTAGGCAAAAGATAACGAAAAAGAAACTTAGACTTGAAATTTCATTAATATTACAGAAATGCAGAGTTACAAGGGATAGCATTTTTTACTTGTCACTGGTAAATTCAGGTGTTTTATAGCCACCAGTGACTTGGTACAGTCTCTGTGGGGATCAGTTTAGTAATGCCTATCGAAATTTTAAATGGAAATGATTCAGCACCTCCATTCTTGGGTATTTATTCTATAGATTCATAAGAGAATATTTATGAGGACATTTTTTTAAATAGCTAGAAATTCTTAATAATTGAAATGTCTAGGCCAGGCGCAGTGGCTTGAGCCTATAATCCCAACAGTTTGGGAGGCCGAGGCAAGAGAATTGCCTAAGCCCAGGGTTTCGAGATCAGCCAGGCAACTTGGTGAGACCTCGTCTCTACTATAAATAAAAAAAAATTAGCCAAGCATGGTAGCACGCACCATGGTAGTAGCATGGTAGTCCCAGCTGCTTGGAAGGCTGAGGCAGAAGGATTGCCGGAGCCCATCAGGCCAGCACTAGGGTGACTGTGAGCATGCCACTGCACTCCAGCCTGGGCGATGGAGGGAGTGAGATTCTTAACTCAAAAAAATAAAAAAAGACCTGGCTCGGTGGCTCAGGTTCAAGACAAGCCTGGGCAATTTGGCATGACCTTGTCTCTACAATAAATCAAAAATTAGCCAGGTATGGTAGCGCGCACCTGAGTTCCGGCTACTTGGAAGGCTGAAGTGGAAGGATAGCTGGAACCCAGCAGGTTGACGCTGGGGTGGCCATGAGTGTGCCACTGCGCTTCAGCCTGGACGACGGAGTGAGATTCCAACTGAAAAAAAAAAAAGTCTACTAGCAGAAGCCTGACTAAAATATGGTAACAATGAAAATACATATGTAGTACATATATATAGTACTATGCAACCATTAAAAAGAATGAGGTATTGATATGGAATGATTGTCAAAATCAGCCAGTGTTCTACTGGCTGTATAAAATACAGAAAATATATGCTGGTACATTTCTACAGTATCTCTAGAAAGAAACTCAAAGGGCTGTCCCTGGGAAGGAAAACCTAGGTGGCTTTAAAGTTGGTCAAAACTGCTTATCAGTGATTCTGAGAACTATACTGTCCTCTTCTAGGACATTGAGATACTAGGACATTGAGATACTACTACATTGAGATACTAAAATTAGGTGGTTTTCATTTAAAATTGGGCCTTTAATACATCCTAAGAAAAAGTCTCATCCTCCCCTTCACTCATATCTCTGAGTTAAAGAATGAATAACTGAATTCTTTTTTTTTTAAGTCTAGTCTTTTAACAAAATAAGGGGGCCGGGCAGATCATGACTCCCAGGCATCCCACAAAGTAGGCGGGTCACCTTAGGGGCAACCTTTACCTGCTCAAAAATTCTTCTCACATTAGCAGTGAGGATTCGGGCATCATCCTGAGTTGTTATTTTCCTTACTCATAAGTTTAAGGCATAACTGAATTCTTAATACTTGTTAAAATTTGTTCTTATACTATTATGTAATACTGCAGTTAAGCTGTGAAGCAGATTGCCTTTATTCCTTTTAACAATGCCATATCAACTGTACATGTGTACAAGGAAAGTTAAAAGGTTAATGATAAATTTTTAGATCTTGACAGTTTTTAACAAACTGTAGTGCTCTTCATAGTGAGGGTACCTAGTAGTAGAGCAAACAATAACTATTTCCTTTTGGACAAAGCCTAGAGGGGGAAAGAAGGAAGGAAATTTTCCTCCCCTCTAACAGCCTTCCTTATAAGTAGTTTCATTTTGCTTTATTTCTGGCCAAAGAGAAAAGCTAACTAAGAAGAGATGCTTATATTTTCCTTGCTCTATGCATTTGTTTCAGTTTCTCAAGGCACAGAAGGCCCTGCCCTAGCAACCAGTTCAGGAGCTGGTGTTTTTAAGATGGGGCGATTTCAGGTAAGACAACCACTTTTCTTTGCCTTGATTCCTCCATTTGGGGGAGTGGGCCTATAATAAAAGTATTATCTCCTATGTGGGTCATAATTAAAACCAGTGATAAATTTCTTTTACATAATACTTTCATAGCTCTTTTATCATTTTCCCACAATAAAAGTAATATATACTAATAAAGAAAATATAGAATACTTAGAACAGTAGAGCAACAATAGATAGTTGTGCTATATCTACCCACCCACCTCCCAAGATTACCTTTTGCAGTATATTTTCTTCCACGCCGCCTTCTTTGTACAAGTGTATATTATGTAAAAATGACCACTGTTTCTCCTGCTCTGCATATCTTGTAGCTTTTTTTTTTCCCCCATCTAGATTAGTTGGTTCACCTAATGATGCTCCTATTTGGGGTCATTTAGGTAGTGTCTAAGTTCCAAAATAGTAAGTAAAATAACTGCAAACATCTTTGTGTATAAAAGCATATTCCATGCTTAGAGTAATTTTCATAGGGTTAATTTCTTAAGTTACAATACTGAGTCAGCATCAAGTGACACCAGATCACTTTATTTCCCCAACTGGTCCAACATGTGAGGAGTTTCTGGATCTTAGTATATAGTATTAAACAAGCCTTGAAATTTTTATTTATTTATTTATTTTTGATTCGTAGTCTCACTCTGTCGCCCAAGCTGGAGGGCAGTGGCATGATCATGGCTCATGACAGCCTGAACCTTCTGGACTCAGGCAACCCTTCCACCTCAGCCTCATGATTAGCTGGGACTATAGGCGCACACCACCATGCCTGGCTAGTTTTTTTTGTTTTGTTTTGTTTTTGTAAAGACAAGGTCTCACTATGTCACCTAGGCTGTTCTTAAACTCCTGGGCTCAAGCAGTCCTCTCATCTCGGCCTCCCAAAGTGCTGGGACTGTGTAGGCATGAGCCACCATGGCTGACCTTTTTTTTTTTTTTTTTTTGAGTTGGAGTCTTACTCTGTCGCCCAGACTAGAGTGCAGTAGCACACTGACGGCCACCCCAACATCGACCTGCTGGGCTCAGATGATCCTTCCACCTCAGTCTTCCAAGTAGCCAGAATTATAGGCACACACTACCATACCTAGCTAATTTTTTTATTTATTGTAGAGATGAGGTCTCGCCAAGTTGCCCAGGCTGTTCTTGAACTCGTGGGCTCAGGCATTCCCCTCACCTTGCCCTCCCAAAGTGCTGGGATTACAGGCGTGACCCACCGTACCCAGCCACTTGGCCTGTTTTTAAAAATTTGTTTTCACAACTACATTCTAGGTATCCTCACAGTAGCCCTTGGAATTAGGGATAGTAAATGATGTTTTTCTCATTTGTAAACTGAGGTTCTGAAAGTTTGTAGGTGGATGAATTTGTATTTGTAATACATGGACAAGCCAGGACCAGGATCTGGATCTCCTTATAGTTACCAGTTAGTTATAGTGATTCTTGAGGCTTAGCTGGCATTTTGCATTTATTAAATTTAACTTTGGGTAATGGAGTCCAGCAAGGTGAGTTGACATGCTAGTATCTCATGGTAGGTAGTACATTTAGGGGTAAGGCTCATTAGTAACTAGTAAATACTTGAATGCAGGTTTAAGAAAATTACCCTAGTAGTTTTTCTCTTTTTTTTGAGTTAGAGTCTCACTCTGTTGCCCACGCTGGAGTGTAGTGGCATACTTACAGCCACCACAGCCTCGACCTGCTGGACTCAGGCGATCCTTCCACCTCAGCCTTTCAAGTAGCTGGAACTATAGGCACATGCTACTATGTCTGGCTTATTTTTTTTATTTATTGTAGAGATGAGGTCGCACCAAGTTGCCCAGACTGGTCTCAAACCCCTGAGCTCAGGCAATACTCTGACCTCGGCCTTTCAAAATGCTGGGATTACTGGTTTGAGCCACCACGCATGGTCAGTTTTTCTTAGTCACAAGCAACCTTCAAAACTCTGTGACCTGTTGTTGTTTCTGTTTTGACTAAGACATGAATCTGAATCCTGTGTATGAGATATGAAAGTAAATCATTTACTTAGTAAGCTTAGCCAGCCAGCCACTTAGAATCTGCATCTCAATACAGATACGCTGCTCTTTATAATGGTATTCAATTCATGTTCACAGTCAAAGATGGAGGGACAGGGTAGAGATAATCAGCTTACTCATTGACTAGGAAATGAAGTTATTCCTTTTTTTAGAATGGTTTATGTTAGAAATTGAATATTGAGAACTTCTGTTTTTCATCTCACTTTGTTCTCTTTTTCCAACAGGTTTCAGTTGCAATGGATGATGCCCAGAAAGAGGGTAAAATTAAATCAGAAGACATAAAGTCTGTTCGTTTTGAATCCAGCACTTCAGAGTCTTCAGTGCTATCAAGTAGTAGTCCAGAGAGTACCCTGGTGAAGCCAGAGCCTAATGGGATAACCAGCCATGGTATTGCTTCAGATGTGCCAGATAGTGCTCACAGAACTCCTGCCTTAGAGACAAAATCAGAAACTGGCCAGCCTACCAAGGTCGGACGTTTCCAGGTGACAGCCACAACAAACAAAGTGGGTCGTTTCTCGGTATCGAAAACTGAGGACAAGATTGTTGAGGCAAAGAAGGAGGGACCAGCGGCATCTCCTCCATTTATGGGTTTAGAACACGCTGTTCTTCCTACTGTGACACCAAAGAAAGAAAAGCCGGAACCGTCAGAGCCTTCACATCTAAACGGGCCGTCTTCTGACCTAGAGGCTGCCTTTCTAAGTAGGGATGTGGACGATGGTTCAGGCAGTCCACACTCCTCCCAACAGCTGTGCTCAAAGAGCCTTCCTATCCAGAGTCTAAGTCAAAGCCTTAGTAACTCATTTAACTCCTCTTACATGAGTAGTGACAATGAGTCAGATATTGAAGATGAAGACTTAAAGTTAGAGCTGCGACGACTACGAGAAAAGTAAGTATATTTTCTCCTGTGAAAGAATAATGGCTGATAATGTTTTAAAGTCTAGAGCCTAGTACCAAAATTAATATTCATTGAAAGAGAAGGTGCCTCAGCAATTTGGGAGGCCAAGGCGAGTGGATTGCCTGAGCCCACAGGTTTCAGACCAGCCCGGGCAACTTGGTGAGACCCAGTCTCTACAATAAATAAAAAATTAGCCGGGTGTGGTAGTGCGCACCTGTAGTTCTGGCTACTTGGAAGACTGAGGCAGAAGGATCGCTGGAGCCCAGCAGGTCGATGCTGGGGTGACCATGAGCACTCCGGCATGGGCAATGGAGTGAGACTCCAACTCAAAAAAAAAAGAGAGAAGGTGCCCTCAAGGCCCCACTCCATATACCTACGTCCCCCCCACCCAAAAAGATTCCTAGCTAGTATCCCCTAGGTAGCTTCTTCCAGGCAAGAAGAGAAAGAAAGAGGTGATATGCAAAAGCTTAAGTTGCCTGAATGTATGTGGTTCATTAGGTTCTCTTACACATATGAGAATCCATCACATTTCTAGTTACAGATCTTCTTCAGCAGCTTTATATTATTACTAGAATATTGTTTTTATTAAAAGCACTTTGAATCTAAAATAAAATTTTTACAAAGTTATAAAAAACCACTTTTAATCGCTATTAATCACCGTTAGCTACTTATTAGTCTACCAAATGAACCCAGTAATGGCATTGGGATATAGGATTATGCTCACGGGTTTTGTTAAGCATATTTGGCAAATTGACTCACAGTAGCAAATTCAGATATCCTGCACATAGCCTCAAAAGCCAGGAAATCTTATCCCCCTAACAACCATTTTTTGTTGGCTCGGAGCTTGTTAGAATATGGGTTGGGTAATGGAGATCAGCAAAGTGAGCTGACAAGCTAGACTCTCATGGTAATGCATTTGGGGAAAAGGCTCATTGGTAACTAGTAAACACTTGCATGCAGGTTGAAGAATATGCTGTTAATTCTAGTTTGAATGAAGGAGATTATGATTTTGGAATTATATTTGATTATCTTTTGTAGACATCTTAAAGAAATTCAGGATCTACAGAGTCGCCAGAAGCATGAAATTGAATCTTTGTATACCAAACTGGGCAAGATTCCCCCTGCTGTCATTATTCCCCCAGCTGCTCCCCTTTCAGGGAGAAGAAGACGACCTACCAAAAGCAAAGGCAGCAAGTCGAGTCGCAGCAGTTCCTTGGGGAACAAAAGCCCCCAGCTTTCAGGTAAAAAGCCCTGGACCAAGTCAGCCATGGCTGTCTTATTTTTCTTTCTCTATTTGTGTAGCCTGTTGAACATTTGTTGTTTTGTTAAAATTCAAAGGAATTTGGCTCTCCTAATATTCTTGCTTTCTTCTGTACGCCTCATATTTATTTTACCTCTTTTTGTGTCCATAGAAGTAGATGGGGTGAATACAGTGGCTTATTCCATTGTAATCCATTTTGCTATTTACTGGTAATCTTCATTTATAGCTGTTCTTAAGGTTAGACTTTTAGGGTCTTACTCTGTTGCCCAGACTGGAGTGCAGCAGCACAATCGTGGCTCACTGCAGCCTTAACCTCCTGGGCTCAGGCAATCCTCCTGCCTCAGCCTCCCATGTAGCTGGGACTACAGGTATACACCACCATGCCTGACTAGCTGTTTTATTTTTTGTAGAGGTGCGGTCTCACTGTATTACACAGGCTGGTCTCGAACTCCTAGGCTCAAGCAGTCCTCCCGCCTAGGTCTCCCAAAGTCCTGGGATTATAGGCATGAGACACCATGCCTGGCCAAGGATAGACATTTGCCTGTTTACTCATGTAACTCACATTAAAGCAAAGTCTTGGGCAGTTGGAAGAAAATAAATTATTCTTTGTTCAATGAAGTTCAGGTAGATTCTTCTTTTTGATGAATAAGTTGGTCACAATTACAGCTGGGATGCATGTAATGTCATATAGATACTTGGGTGTGTCTAAGTGGTAACTTCCTTGATTAAGGCTTTTATTTCATTTATCTACACTGAGTTCAAGAACTTGTTACTTGTTGCAATTAAATAGTTGTCATAATCTTTTATAATGGAATGTATCTTAATTGTGATAGAGAGTTTTTCATTGTTCGGTGAAATTATGGTAGTGTTAGCAGATAATTAGTTGAAAAGTAAAAGAGGGCTAAAATGTGCTAAGAATGTTGGTGCACACTTCTTAGTAGCTCCTTTTACTAGAAGTTTTCATAGATGCCCAAATTCTTTTTCTGGCACATTAGGACCAATTCATGCAACCTACTAGTAGAGATGTGATAATAAAAGGAAGTCAGTTAATCTCTGATCTGATCCCAATCAGATTCTGTCTCCAATTTTAACATACCTTTTTATCGAATTTCTAGCCAACCAGTTACTAGGGAACAAAGAAGTTAGTCAGTTTTAGGACAATTGACCTAGTGATGGAAAGTCACATACTAAGAATAATTTTAGACTTTCAATACTCACATCTCTTTTGTGTCTGATGCATGTTTATAAGAAAATCTAAGCAGAAACTGCCTAACCTATGTGTATCACGATTCAACATCTTTTCTAATAGAGTGAAAAAAAATTGTGCAATTACCATTTGGAATCCTGGCATCCACTGTATTTTCTAATCTTACTCTGCTCATACTTGTGGATCATCCAGGCTTCCTACAGCTAAAAAGCCTCTGGGATAGTTCAGAAATCTTTATTGCTTGTTGATTCTTAGTGTCATTCCTCACTTCCATCCTGTTAGTGAGAACTTGGTTCTTTCATGAACTTAAAGTTTTTGACCCATCATTAATCACTCGGTAGGACACACTGAAGGAATAAAAACAGTGCCTAGTGAGTGCATGGGGAACGCTGGACATGTTTCCTCATGCCACTTTATCTTTTGGCAGGTAACCTGTCTGGTCAGAGTGCAGCTTCAGTCTTGCACCCCCAGCAGACCCTCCATCCTCCTGGCAATGTCCCAGAGTCTGGGCAGAATCAGCTGTTACAGACCCTTAAGCCATCTCCCTCCAGTGACAACCTCTGTTCAGCCTTCACCAGTGATGGTGCCATTTCAGTACCAAGCCTTTCTGCTCCAGGTCAAGGTAAGAAATCAAAGCAACCATCATCTTCCAAAAACATTAAAATGGAAATATTGTCATACCTGAGACAGAAGCCTGATGAGTAACCTATTGTTAAGGTGGGTTGGGAGACCAGTTAGCCAGAACACAGCCTCTGGTGTACACTTAATAACCTTCGGGCTGAAAGGGGAATGTGATGATTAGAATCAGAGGGCTTATTGCTTCCATCAGGTGAAATAGCTTTGTTCCAAGAGATTACAGTGGAAAATTACATCTGTTAACTTTGATGAATAACTCATTTGGGATTTGGAATTTATGCTTTAATACTATGCTGAGATTTCCTGGATGAAATTCTAAGGGGTTTTAGCAGTTTCTGAAAGCTAATGCATTTTCTTAGCCGGTATAGAATTCTGTAACTCCTAAGTATGAGAGTGGCATATTACAGTGAATAGCACTACAATTCAATATTTTACCTATAGTCTGCTTTCTATATAGTTTGCTTACTAATGATTGCTGAAAACATTTCTGCAGAGGAAAGAGCTTCTAGTAACATTAGAACAAGAATTTAAGGGAGTTGTATATCTGGACAGAAAAGAGTGAAAAAATATTGGTACCTGGGTTTAGGTGCCTTTGCCACATTTTCACAGAAATGAGAGATTATATGGTTGCTTCAGAAGAGGAATGTGAAGGGGTGCAAACTAGCTAACATTATTCCAACTCAGAAAGGCTTCAGCATCTTGCACAGGAAGAGAATGTAGCCCTGGTATTTCCTCTTTTACCTATCTGATCTTCCCCCAGAAGCTTGTTCTTCTGTGTGCCATCTTAGTGCATTCTACCATTCCAACCTCAAGTTTCTAACATCTTGTAGTTGTGTTCTGTCTCTTCTCCTCTCTCTGTTCTTCCTTGTTTTTCCCCTCTCACAGGCTGTGCGAAGTTTAACTGTGCATCTGAGCAGGTGACATTCAAACCTGGTGGCAGGAGGACCCGATTTCTGAGTACGCCCTGCTTGGCTCTTTGTGTGTAACACCTTTACTCCTTCCTTGTCCTTGTTTTTCTGCTGCTTGGATCTGATGTTTCATGCAGTTCATTTCATTTGTCTCTTTTTGTATATCATCTACTCAGTGGCTTGGCTGAATTACTGTTACCCTCAGAAGTTTGGGACCCCACATTAATTATGATAAAAGATATAGAAATAATAATAGGTTTCCACAAACTTCAATGTAACTTTCTGGTAGAATTGCTTCTTCATAGACCTTGACAGAGGGTAGGTATGGTATCAAAGCCGTAGACTGCTGGGCTGTTTAGAGTAATGAAGACAACTCCACAGCCATGTTCAATGCTGCCTCTCTGCCCCAGCGTTGGAGAAGAAAGCATCTTGACCACAGATGTACTTAGGTCCTGGCAGCAAGTAAAAACTAGGCCCTGTTTTTCTCTGTTCTTTTTCAATGATAGATTGAAATCCTTTTCTCTTCTCAATTAAGCATAAGCATCTTCTAGTTGAAAAGATGCTAGAATCTCTTTATGGGATCATTCAACCACCACTGCCCTCTAACCCCATAAATCAGTAGTTTAAAAAGCAAGTTTGGGCCGGGCTCAGTGGCTCAGCCTGTAATCCCAGCACTTTGAGGGGCCGAGTTGAGTGAATTGCCAGAGCCACGGGTTCAAGACCAACCCAGGCAACTTGGCAAGACCTCTTCTCTACAATAAATAAAATTTAGCTGGGCATGGTAGTGCACACCTGTAGTTCTGGCTACTTGGAAGACTGGGGTAGAACGATTGCTGGAGCTCAGCAGGTCGACGCTGGTGTGGCCATGAATGTGCCACTACACTCCAGCCTGGATGCCAGAGTGAGATGCCGACTCAAAAAATAAAAAATAAAAACAAATTTGTGGCCGGGCTTGGTGGCTAAGCCTGTAATCCCTGCACTTTGGGAGGCCGAGGCGAGTGGATTGCCTGATCCCACAGGTTCAAGACCAGCTCGGACAACTTGGTGAGACTTCGTCTCAACAATATCTCAAAAATGAGCCTGGTGTGGTAGCACGTGCCTGTAGTTCCGGCTACTTGGAAAACTGAGGCGGGAAGATCGCTGGAGCCCAGTAGGTCGATGTTGTGGTGGCCATGAGCATGCCACTGCACTTCAGCCTGGGCTACGGAGTGAGACTCCAACTCAAAAAAAAAAACAAACAAATTTGGTGTGTTTGTGGTTATTCTGATAAAGCATTTATTCTATTAAAGACTGACTCAGCACCTGCAAGTGAAAATTATCTTTTTAACATGAATGCTGGGATTTCCTAGCTTTCTATTTAAAAACAAGACATAGTAACAAGTCCATCTTCCCCATATGTGAAATGAAGACAATACCTGTGTCCTAGGGGTATTGTACAAATCAAGTAATGTACACAGAAACAGCACCTGGAAGCATGATTTTCCTCTAATTAGCCTGTGCCTACCTGGCACATGGTAGGTAGTCAGTATATGTGTACTGAATAAAAGTTTTACAAACAAACAGAAACAGCTCAAATAGAAACCCTTTGTTAGAATATGGGTAAAGAGGAGCTTCTCTGTTAAGGCCTCAAACTTCTGATGTGGTTATTGAAGTGCTTTCTAAATGCATGTGCTCGGGCCATCACTGTTTCTGAGTATGATTCGGAGGTCCTTGGGCCTCTTCATGGTGGGAAGAATTCATACCTCCCTTGTCTTCTGTAGTGACCAGATTTAAAGGGAAGTACAACACATTTAACTCCATTTCCCCCACTCGCACGCGTAATCCTTCTAGCACCTCTCTTTGTTTTACCTCCATCTGTACTGGATTGACTACTTGAGGCGATCTTTTACTGCCTTGCCCTCCATTCACTAGTCCAGGGCTGTTGAACAAAGAAGGGTGTGGAAGACATTACCCAGTCGGGTCTTTTCCAAGCATGTGTGATTTTTGAGCACTGAGATCAATCATTTTTCTGTTTGGACTAGCCTGGACTGTGCATATTAGCAACTTGACACTTAAATAAGCTACACGTCCAGCTAGAAAGATGAAAGGACATCAGTAGCAGGAGCTAGGTATTTTCAAGCAGGATGTGACATGCCAGGCCTATGATCTGTAGCCTGAAATGTCAGCGAGCAAAGGAAGAAAACCAAGGCTTCTTTTTGGGAAGTATAATGTGACAAGTACCACTTCAATTAATTTTGAAATCTCATCCCATTCTTAAAGGTAGGTGTATTACCCCTGTTGTTGAAATAAAAATGGTTAGAAATATTAAATCTTATCACTTCCCTGGGGTCTAAAATGAGAGGCCCTATATCTGTTGAAGGCACATCAGAATACGCCATGTAAGCCTGGTGAACAGATCCCAAGAGGCAGACTTGAAATATGGAAAGAAAACAGGTACTTAAAAGGGTGGGGACCTTACTAGTCTGGGATGTATTATTCAATGCTTTCAAAATAGATAATGGTTTGGAAGCACGGCTTGGCTTACTGCTCTTTTTATGTTCAGAGGTTGCTTGTTTTCCACATACTTTTTTCTGAAAGGGATGGGCTTAGTATATATGTCTAGGATGTAGAAATTTAATAGCCAATTTAAATAAACTTAAAACTGTAACAATGATTCTATCTATCAGCTTATTGTGGTAGGATTGCTAATGCATTTATTAATTGAGTGCTTTTTAACAACCCAGCTGGAGAAACAGGAAGTGGGACAGGGTCAATGGCAGCACTGCTTGGGTATTTGAAATTCAAGCAGTGAGACCTTAGAGACTGAAGTTCCTCCCTCATTCCAGAACCTTAAGGCAGGACATCACTTTTTTAGATGCAAAGGTTGGGCATGGAGACTCAACATCTGTCGGCCAGATAACACAGTCTGTCGGATAATCCTGTGGAGGCTAGCAGCCAGCTAGGTCAACATTCCACAGAAGGTGATCTATGGCAAGGGCTGCCAGGTCCAGGTCCTACCTGCCTGTCCGTCCCCCTTCCTGCTTTCTCTTGCTGGGCCTTTGTGTGCTGTTTGGGGATTCTAATATTTTACACTGATGTTTCTTTATCTTTAACACATTGCTTCTCTCTTTGTGCTTCAGGGAAGATGGTGAAAAAAGTCTGTCCCTGCAACCAGCTCTGTAGTAATTATCTTTTCTTTCTGTTATTTTTGTCCTTGATTGCAAAGCCTGTTATACATGAGTTCTTTGAACTCTGAAGCCTCGCAGCTCCCTGATTCCTAACGTCCATCCACCTCTGCACCCTTTTCTGATGTAATCTTTAACATGCTTAACTGCTGTCTACTGGCTGTTCTTTCTGACTTAGAGATCACCTCGTAGTCAGTGCTCTCAGTGGTGACCCCATGTGAGCCTTGCTCCGTGACAGTCATGGATTGGTAATGCCTATGGATGCCTTTAGGGAGATTGAAGATGCCTGGCTCCTGTGGAAAATACAGTCCTTTGGTCAGCAAATATGAGTCAGGCACTGTGCTACCCCCACTGGAAAGTCAGCAGTGATGAAGCATAGTCCATGACCTCACATTGTTGACACTGTCGTGGGAAATGTCAGCTATATTGAGGGAAAGAAACACTACTTTGTAGAGGTTGGCTTCTTAGACTGGTGGCTTCTCATTAAAGCACGGATAATTCAGCAACCCAGCAGGCCACCTCTCTAAGGTTCTAGATATAGAATCAACAGGAAAACTTTATATGTGAGACATTCAGCAGAAAGTTGCAGTTCATAATAGGTTATTGTTCCTAGTGTCTGGCAGTGTGGGATAGGAGAAATGTAGTGTTATGGCAGGAGGAAATTTTAAAAAATGAATATTAGGGGTAAGCGTATTTTCCTTTTTAGGCTTTTTAGAAGACCTTAAAAGGGTTCAGAGATGAGTCAGCACTCTGCAAGGCCTCTCTACTAGCTTTCATGGGAGTCTGCTTTTCTCAGGAGTTAATTTCTGGTCAGAAAGGGATACATTTGTTTCCTTCTTTAACAGGGAGCCTGCTTACAGACCCAGAATAAGATTTAACTGTCAATTTTTTCTCATGGGATAAACCTCCCTCTCAGAATCCAGTACTGGGGAATATAGTTTAAAAGGAAAAGTGAAATTTAGTGCTGCAGGGCCTTGCGGCATCACAGGCAGCCAGCATCAGACTAGAGAGGTGTGACTCCAGACTGTGCTCGTGGAACAAGCAGTCCCCCCCCCTCCCCCGCTAGGCAGCTTGGGTTTAGCTCCCTTGTGGTTATTTCCGGTTTTCATTTTGATTGTCTCTCACATTGCGTTCACCCAGCAATAACCATTCCACCGGGATGCAGTCCCCATGCATGTGGTATGCCTGCTTTCTGGATGTGGTCATGACCACAACTGCCATCCATTGCCTGTGCTTCCAGACTTCACCACTGTCTCACATCTGCTCTTCCCAGAAGGCTGTTTCCTGTGCTTTATTTAACACTTCTCCACTTGGGTTCTCCTGTACTGGAGGGGAGCGTACCCATCCCTTTACACTGTATGTGCAATAGCAATCCCTGTGTGGCTCCAGCGGGCACCAAGAAGTGAGCTGACACTCACTGCTGTGGTTCGAAGTCTTGCCATGGTGGTGAGCAGCATGAGATCTTCCTCACTCTGCCGCTTCACCTCAGAATTAGCTGTTCCTCCACACAGTGCTCGGTGTGCTATTCCCTGGGTGATAGGATATAATCCTGTCTTGAGACCCACGGTGGTGATGATGGGCTTTTAAGTGTTAGGTTGCGTGAGGTGTGCTGCTGTGCTCTGATGCTGCTTTGACTCTGACCGTGAAAGCAGGAAAACGCATGCACTCATTTAGCCCCCACCATTACTTGGGTATTTAAGGCCTGGCGGCTCACAACTCACCTTAGTAGCTTGTATTTGTTCTGTAGCAAATGTGAGATCTGGTAAGAAAGTGGGGGTGAGGAAAACAAACAAGACCATGACTCTTCTTTCCCTCTTCCCTAAAATGTGCTTCTTCGACTAATCTTCAGTGTGCCCTCCAGCAGAGCCGAAATCAGGCAGGACCCAGACTCCTTCTTTTCTCATCAAACTATAGAAATAGAATTCCTTCATTGTAACCCCAGAGCTTTCTCCTCCCCTTTGCACCCTGCCTCGGCTGCATTTTGTTGTTGCTTCTATGTGGGAGTGCTTGCTGTTCTGGAAAGAGTGGGGAGAACGGGTAAGAACCAATTGGAGAACCTTGAACCAATTGGACAGGTGTCATCTTCGGGAAAAACATGTTGTTCTGGACTTGAGAGACTCAGGTACACCACCTAGTCCTGTCCTAGTGAGTAATCTCAGTCCTTTACTCATGGGAAGTCGAGAGAGGCTGAAGGCTTAACTCCTCCCAAGTTTGCTTGCAAATTCATGTTTATGGATCCAGGTGAAAAAGTCTAGTAGAGCACACTACTACTCTTACTACTCTCTGAATGAATGGCGAAAGAGTGTGGCAGTGTCCCCATGGTTGGTAACCCTCTCTTCTCCTTGGCCAAGCACCTGTCCTTGCATTCCTGTTCCTACTTTAGCCCTGCCCAGTGCACAAGAAAGCCTCCTTTGCCCTGCATTGCAAAGTCCCAAAGCAGCGAGCCTGTTGACTGCATCTCACCTCCCTCATCAGTGTGCCACTGGGAATAGGATACTGGCAGGCAGGTCCAGTACTCTAAGATGCGTTGTGAACAAGCTGAAAGAGGTCCCTGCCCTGGACACCTGCCATCATCCTGAGTTGGTCAGCCTTACCTGCAGCTGGTGAAGAGAAACTGTTTCCATCTCCCTGTGGTGCCATAATAGTGGTTGAAAAAAACCTTGGAACCCACCTTTCTTGCATGGCTTCCCAGTTCATCCTCTCCCCATCCTGTGGCTTGCCATTCGTCATCCTGTGACATTTTCCCTCTTCCTGAAAGCATAACCCAGGCTCCTTTAATGTCTATGTTCTGTCGCTTCTGATAACTCCAGGGACTAGCAGCACAAACACCGTCGGAGGAACAGTGAACAGCCAAGCCGCCCAGACTCAGCCTCCGGCCATGACGTCCAGCAGGAAGGGCACATTCACAGATGATCTGCACAAGTTGGTCGACAACTGGGCCCGCGATGCCATGAATCTCTCAGGCAGGAGAGGAAGCAAAGGACACATGAGTTACGAGGTTGGTCTTCCCATCGTGCCACGGAATGTCACACACATTTGAGTCAGAGGGGTAGAAGCTGCTTTTCATACCATGGCCGCCGTAGTAGCTTATGAATTTTTAACACTTGTAGAAAAACAAGGCAAAAATCTCCGATGCCCTTCTGTTTTTTTTCCTCCATGAATTCCTAGCCTTTTAGTGGTCAGCTCAGTTTCTTCTTCAACAACCTGAACTACCTGCACAGACATACACATGCACGACCTCCTTCCCCTTCTGGTCAAAAGGGTTATTCGACCTCCTTCCCCTTCTGGTCAAAAGGGTTATTTCCACCCCTGCTTGGTAGATACAGGGGATGCCCCCAGAATGTACACACATTTTAAGTATGATGTTCACTCAAAAGATGGCTTTAATCAGATTAATGCTAGCATCACCGTGCAACAGGCAGGACAGTCAAAGAAAATGGTGGAAGCACATTTGAGCAAATGTCATACTACACATTACTACCGTAATTTAATTCAACTTCGGAAAGTAATACATAGATAATATCTCTTAAAATGTGTTTGCACTTTTTTGGCACCCCCGTATAAAGAGCATAGAAGGCTTTGTTTTGCTAGACCCTATAAGAGTACAGTGGAAGTGTATTTTAGTGTGACGCATCCTACACCCCTGGGTGGTATACTCACACCAGACTTTACATGTGGTTTTCTTGTTGTCAGGGCCCTGGAATGGCAAGAAAGTTCTCTGCACCTGGGCAGCTATGCATCTCCATGACCTCGAACCTGGGTGGCTCTGCCCCCATCTCTGCAGCATCAGCTACCTCTCTAGGTCATTTCACCAAGGCTATGTGCCCCCCACAGCAGTACGGTTTTCCAGCCGCCCCATTTGGCGCTCAGTGGAGTGGGACGGGTGGCCCAGCACCACAGCCCCTCGGCCAGTTCCAGCCTGTGGGAACTGCCTCCCTGCAGAATTTCAGCATCAGCAATTTGCAGAAATCCATCAGCAACCCCCCGGGTTCCAACCTGCGGACCACTTAGCCAGACCTAGAGACATTAATGAGTAGATCTGGGGGCAGGAGACAGAATGCGGAAGGGAGGGAAGGGTTGGGAGGGTAGCCTATTACTAACGACTAGTGCTGCGCTTAGCTGGTGGCTTCTTGCCCGAAGGGAATGTTCTAATACCGCGCTGAGCCCTCAGAATGGAGCGTCTCCCTCCCCCTCCGTCCACTGGATTGGGGCAAAAAGGAAAGAGCAGCTTCCTGTGAAGGGGCAGTTTCAGACCATGCTTTCCTGTTTGTCTCTACCCAGCAGTGAAGGCGAGGGCCAGGACAGTCTTGTTCATGAGGAAGCTACTGGGGGGGTGGAGCTCGGTGTGAAGTCGGCCCCGTCAAATTTCAAGCGTGTGGAGCTCTTGGTTTTGGTACACGCCCCAACCCCTTACTCCCTCAAGAATCCAAACCACAAGACAAAAGGAAAAACAGCCATTGGGCTCTCTCCTACCCTTCCCTCTCCTTTTCTTCCCCCCCTCTTTTTTGGTTCTTTTTGTTTTTCTTTGCTCTTTAGAACCCAGTGAAAAATACCAGGGGACTGGGGGTGCAACCCTTTATGATAGGTCATTAGTGCTTTAAGCAAAAGATATTAGCAGCTTTGACTGCAGCATTAGCAATTAGGAAAAAAGAAATTAAGTTCCCTGCGGACATGTAACTTTGCCATCAGTTTTGATGTGGAAACACTGTGATATATAAATGTTGTTGGACAACAGTAGTTTTAAGAGTAAAATATGAAACGTTTAAAAAGTTCCAAAAAAAGCTAGCTTTGTCCTCTACTTATTGAGACACTTTAACTTTTTCCTTTGTATTTCCATTGTATTAGATAAATAAATGTGAATGTAAAATTGTATAAATTACTGTACTTGAATACTTCTGTTCTCCCAGTGTTGCTTGCTGGACATTTTAGTGCCTTGGACTTCTATTGCTTCTGCCATCAGCACCAACTTATCAGACCCAGACCCCAGATCAACATGGGCATGTGGAAGAAAATCCTAGGTCCATGTGACCCCAGCAGTGGGCATGCCAAAGGGAAACGGAAAGAGTTTTTTTTTTTTTTAAGTCACTCAACAACTTTGTCTAGAGCAGGTGTAAGATGAGTAGGGTGAGAAGTTAAGTTGGCATTAGTGGTTGAAAACAGGAAGGTCTGCTTCAGGATAGTGAGGATGGGTGTTACAACAAAATTGGGCGATTTAAGACTGAGTGGTGAGTGCTGAGCAGAAGATGGCGACTAAAGAACGGGGAGCAAACTTGTGTTGAGGCCATGTGACGCCTGGCCTGTGGCTGTCATGAACCTACTGACTGGAGCCAGGCTTGACCAGACATGACCTAGAGGAAACTGAACACGAGGAGAAGGGGGTGGGGACTAGTCTTTAAGTCAGGAAGCGCTGAGAGCAAAGTCACAAATGGAGAAGGCTGCTCTAAGAAAAGCTGTGGGTCGCCTTCCTCTTGTTGCAGGTGGACCGTGCATTTCTTCAGCTTGGGGACCTCTGTCTTGTGGAAAAGGACTTTCTGCGTCTGAGTTGGAAAGAACACTTATGCCTACCCATTTCCTCTATGATGTCCACATGGTTGCAGGATCATAATCTATTGTGCCACCTTCAAATTACAACTAATACTCTCACATTTTCATATAAATATTCCCCTTGAATAATAACTGCAACCAACCAGTATTATTTAGTGCTATGCCTGGCTGTAACGGGCAGTCTATTATTTTCAGAGCTTTCTGGAAATACTGTCCTAACTGGCTGTTTGGGATCTGTTCTCTCGAGATGGAGAGAAAGGCCGGGACTCTCCGCGTTTGGAGTGTTCCGTCTCTTGACTTAGGAAACGGACATGTTTCCAATCTTTCACCCGCCTCAACGGCACATCCCAGGAACCAGCGCCAGAGGCTGGAGGCGTTCTGAGCCCTGGGCGCTCCTGTGGGTCCCGTTGACTTCGGTAAGCTGGCCTGGGCCGAGATGCACGTGAGAGCTGAAGGCTTCAGGAAGGTGGACGTGGAAGGGGCAGGGGCGTCAGGCCTGCTTTGAGGCTGCGGCGTTTATTCTCTGCTTGTGATTCTGGGGAGAGGAGGAGGATGGGACCGAGTGAGGAAAGGACCGCCTGAGACTTCACACCAGAGGAACGAGGGGGCCGGGCGCAGCATGTGACTGTTATTTTGGCTTAATAATCTGGAAATCTATTCATACACAAAAAGAACTGGTTTTATTTACTGTTGATTTTTCCCCCTCCTGTGGATGAAATAACTAAAGCCTAGAGGAATGAACTAGTGCTACTGAACTGTTTAAATTATTTTTGTGTTAATAGTACACTTTGAGTATCTTTTTCCACATTGAAATCTTTCTGGATTATAAATGTTTTCCTTACATTATTTAACAACGTACGCTGTTTAAAAAAATAAATAAACTGAATTCAAACTTTGGGGGTTTCTCAGCAGCAGCCGTTCATTGTACATTTTGCACTAACTCTGGGTGTTGCGCTCCTTGTAAGATTGCGCTTCGTGCTTCAGTTTGTTACCTTTGTAGACTTATTTAATGAAACCATTCAAATAAACCAAACTTGCTTTTATTGAGCTTTGGGGTTTCATTTCCAACAAGTTTCGCATTTTTCACTGGTGCTACATGGAGCCGTGTGTCATTTATTCCTGGATTTCTAATTCCTGGTAATTCCTGACAACGTTTCAGCAGTAGTTTGCCCTGAACTAAGATTACACTGCAGGATTTTTTTTCTGAGAATGGGATGGATGTAAACATCAAAAGATGTTAACATGACCAGATCCATGCAACGGCAAGGAAGGTCAGAGCTTTTAGAAGACAGGGAAGTCAGGGCAAGCTGCTGGCTCTTCGTCTTTCCAAGGACTGGCAGTGGCCAACTGCTGTCCAGTCCTTGAAGACAGTTCTTTGCTCAGGTTTACAGCTTCCCACAAATGGGACTGTGACCCCCAGACATGTCACCCAAGACGAGGCACAGCCCAGCCCAAGGTGCGTCTGATAAGGTAAATGTGCCGGGCTCGGTGCCTCGGCCTGTAATCCCCCGCGCCTTTGGGAGGCTGAGGTGAGTGGATTGCCCCGAACTCACAGGTTCGAGACCCGCCTGGGCGGCGAGACCACATCTCTACAATAAATCAAAGAATCAGCCGGGTGTGGTAGCGCATGCCTGTAATTCCGACTACTTGGAAGGCTGAGGCGGAAGGATCGCCGGAGCTCAGCAGGTCGAGGCTGCGGTGGCTGGGAGCGGCCACTGCACTCCAGTCTGGGCGACAGAGTGAGACTCCAACTCAAATTAAAAAAAAAAATAAGTAAATGCAAACTCATTATTTGGAAGAAAAGAATCCTGAAACACCTAAACACTGAAAAAACTATGTTAAGATGGGTTACAGCTCGCATCTGAAATGAAGAAATAAAGACAACTGCAGGTTTGAGGACCCCTCACTGAAAAGCTCTACAATCTGAAACTTGCATGTGATGCCACAAAAACGGAAATTCCACATCTGAGCTCACGTGATGTGACAGCGTACAACAGTTGATTCAGGGGCCCTGGGGAAAAAAGACCCAGCCCCCCTCAGCAGCCATATATCCTGTACACAGACTTTATTTCATGCACAAAATTGCTTAAAATATTTCTAAAATTACTTCTGGGATATGTGTAACTAAATGAATTTCATGTTTAGACTTGAAGCCCAACCCCATGATTCTCTGTACATGGGCAATTATCCCAAACTCTGAAAAAATTCAAAATGCGAAACACTTCTGGTCTCAAGTGTTTCGGGCAAGGGGTACGCAGCTTAGGAAACGCCGTATAATTTTGTCAAGAAGTAGAGGGTTGGCTTCAAAGGGCGAAATTTGGATTATTTCCTTGCTCAAGAGAAAATGGTCCTGAGAGCACACAACGGTGGTGTCGCCGCCGAGAGCAGCCTTGCTGTCGCGCGAGGACGGCCGCCGCGGTCGCGCTGAGCAGGGCCTGGCGCTTGCCGTGACGCACCGTGC